GGTTCAGGGTGTCACACATCTTGTTCCTCTACTACCACCTTTAGACTGTGGGGGATCTCAATTTGATCTTTTCTTCTCTATTTGACAGAGTGCCTCTGATGCAGAAAGTTGTGATTTTGGTTGCCATTACATTGGCTTGTAGGGTTTCGGAACAGGCGGCCCTTCTTTGTAAGGCACGGTTTCTGGTACTCCACGATGACAAGGTGGTTCTTCCACCTCAGCTGTCTTTTTTTGTGGTCTTGGGGCTTCCATCTCAAGCAGGACTTCATCTTACCTTCCTTTTGCTCTCTCAGACACCAGGGGACAAGGTTCTCCACACCTTCTGGTGTAGAGCTTACAGATCGAAAGAGCCTTAGAAATACCACTGCTGTGACTAACGCAGCCCAAAGCTTACTCGATTTTCTCTCCCTTTCCTTCCCATCAACGTAGTCAGTGTTGACAAAGCAATGCCTCCCACAGCACTATTGTGGTTTGCAGGCAGGGGAGGGGAACAGGGTGCTCTCCCAACAGGCAGAAAAACAATTGTTACTGCTAGCGGCTATAACCGCTGGCAGGAGAGGTGTAACTAGACCCTTCAGGGCCCTGATGCAAGAAACCATATAGCACCCCCTGACCGCCAGGCACTTTACTCCCGTCATGGGACCTTTTTACATATTCTGCAGTGGGCCCCCTTCCTGCCATCTTGGGGGTCCCCCACCACGGTGGTGGAGCGCCAAAGCCTGGTCGCAAGTGCAACCTTTATGACCGACTGCCTGGCCTTTTACTCCTGTCGTGGGACCCGTTCACATATTCTGCAGTGGGCCCCCTTCCTGCCATCTTCGGGGTCCCCCTCCATGGTGGCGGAATGCCAAAGCTTGGTCGCAAAGTGCAACTTTTGTGACCCTGGTAGTTCCGCCACTGGTGTCAGTTTATGTTTATTTTATTAATTTTATGGATTGATTTTTATTTTTTTAGCAATTTTATAATTTCCTACAATTTTTTTTTAGCAATTTTATAATTTCCTACAATTTTTTTTAGGAGCCCCGTTGGAGGGCTTTGGTGAAATAACAGGGATCTAAACGGATCTCTGATGTTTCACCTTTGAGACAGAAAAGAGATTGAGGACAGGGCCCTTAATCTCCATGTCTTCAGCCTTAGCAGCACAGAATGCATGAACTGTACAGAGCTTCCCATTCATTCACAAACTAAAGCATAGTAAACACAGGGGGACCCACATGGGGGAGAGGGGGGACCCAGCAGCACAGTGGGGGATGAGGGGGGGTAGTACACAGGGGCCTGATCACAGCAGGTGGTGGATAGAAGGGGAGGTGGGACGGCACGAACAGGAACAGATTCCCCTCCGTTTTCCTCCTACTTCTGCTGAAAGGCTACAGGAGGAAAATGGAGGGCATGGATTCCTCCATATGCTGCCCCCGCCGCCCCTCCTATCCAGATGTGCAGAAGAACCACACGGGCCCCATGGACCTGTTGTGACCCCTGTACATACGCCCCTGGCTGGCAGTAATCGAATGTCAAAAAATCCAACAGGCTGGTTGTACCCAAGCCAAATTGCTGGATCGATTTCTGTAAAATCATCCTGTCCATACATGGATCGAATTTTGGCCAGTCCCTGCTGAACCAAGCAAATTTTATGCCATGTATGGCCGGCTTAAAAGATTTACACAGACTGTTTGCTCAAAATAGAGATGCAAAAGGACAGATTATATTTGGTCAACGCTACATAAATCCTAAAACAGCACAAGAAACAGGAAAGCAAGCAAATCCCATCTTGGAAAAACCATGGGGACTGCCATAGCCGACTCGAAATAGCTAGTTACCTGGCTGACATTCTGCTCCTCTGCCTTCAGTATTGTCCTTAACTCAAAAAAATATGTAGGCAGTCCAGGCAAAATCCCTTGATCTGCATGTTTTTCAAGACCGTGAATCAAAGAATCAGCATCACAGCCAAGAAACTAGCATTCACCTTACTGTGACTGGACAGTGTGGGAGAAGCTACAGATTAAGGAGGTCATCCATCTGCTTTCTCCTCTTTTCAGCTTTGTAGCACATGGAAATACAAGACACCTGATTGGCTCCAAGTACTGCCACTACCTCTCTGGCTGTGTCCTGCTTTACTGAGGATAGCAAGAGGCTAGTCAAGTCACATTTAGTAGATCTAAAACCAAAATGTTTAGTTCTGGATAGAATGGTGAAGGGTTATAACCATTTTCATGCTTTTGTTGCTGTCTGTCTCCCTGCTGGGGAGGTTTACTCTCTATTTTGTCCTCATGATCACTCTCACTGTGACTGAATGCCAGAGAAAATGAAAAATGGCGAGTTGTCTCTAGAATAGAATAATGGCAATCTTGCAATGGGATGCTTAGGGCTCATGTACACTGCAGCTGATAAACTCACGTTCAGGAGCTGCCAAAAAAACGCTGAACTCTCCCTACTGTTTTCCTATGTGTCCATGTACACATCGTCGTTTACAGGCAGTTGAGTTTACGTTCATTTTTTTTTTTTTTTTAACGCACCAAACTTGCATTCAGGAGATTTTACCGGCGTTTCAAACGCTTGTAAACGCAGTCAACCGCGTTTAGAAGCGTTTTTAACTATTCCATATCCAGATGCTGTCCAGAGCCTTTTTTCATCATCAGAAATGCATGCAAAGCATTTTTTCATGTATTCAAATGGACCCGGTACACCAGTTCCAGGTTTCGTGTGAAGGAAAAAAATGGTAGAACGTGCCGCATTATGCTCATGATGGGATCCATAGTGAATACAACCAGAAAAGACAGGTCATCTCAACAAATACGGCTCTCTCTGCTTCTGCTCTCTCTATTTCTTAAAAATGTCTAAAATAGTTAATTTTTTACGGTTTTTTAGTGCATTCTGGACATTTGGGAAGAAGCTATCTTTTAAAAAACGCTTCTAAATGCACATAAACGCAGTATGTAAACACGCCTAAACTGGCGTTTTTAACCTACATTTTCCAGCAGTTTCCATTGTTAAGAAGAGTTTTCTAAATGCCCCGTGTACATGAGCTCTTATTCCAGTGACAAATGTTGAGTTTTCCTCACATTGGAGGATTTTCCCTCACTTTCTGTTGCATATAGGGGGCAGGAAGTGAAGGGAAATCTCCCCAATGGGACACAGATGGCAAGAAAAAAAAAAAAAAAAACTACTGACATTGGTTAAGCAATTTCTACTCTATCCAAAATAAAAAAAGGCTTTAGACATACTTAATAATTGCATTCAAAAAACATTTTTTTTTTTTTAACGCATAACTGCATCCATTGGTGTTTTTTCAAACCCTAGCTTGTCCATAGTTTACACTTAGATGCCCATACCAAGTTTAGCAGCATCAGTTTGGGCTCGTTCACAGTTGACTTTATTTCTAACTCTTGCCAAACGCCCCTATAGCGTTTGATAGGAGTTTGGGAAGCGTTTTTAACGCTCCTCAAAATACTCTCCAAATGCCCTATGCGCGGTTTTGAGGCAGTTGATGGCGTTTATCAAGCGTTAATACCATTTATCTTCATTATAGAAGTTTGTGGTGCGGTTTTAACGCTCCGAAACCACCTTGCAACCGCACCGCAAACGCCTGCCAGGCATTTGAGGAGTGGTAGCATAGGTTTGAATGGGAGGCTTCAACTCCTCCTGACTGGACACGAGGCGTCAGTTTTGCCGCAACGCTTTAATGTGAACAGCACTATGTGCTGCCATGTGCAAAATTTTCATTAAAACCGCTTCCCAAACGTCTGTCTGACAAAGCTAGAGTGAACGTAGCCTTAAGTCTGACAATACCTCTATGATCGAATAGTCAGTTTGACATCGAGCCTAAAAACATACAGTTGCACATTCCTTGTTCCCTCCTGAGAGGTTACTTCGTGTTCACATAGCAAGGGACAAATTTTATGCAAATTTAAAAAGGCATATTGCGGTCATGAAGGTTCAGCTTTAACCCCATCCTGCCGTCCCCACCCGGCCCTTTAAGAGGTTCTAAAGGGCAGGAGGCGAGCAATCCGATCATGTGACTGCTGTGATTGGCATTTACATGATCAGAAAAGATCCTGATTGCTAGTATGCATTTGGAGCTTTCTGGTACCTGCCGGTTATTGTGCTGAAAGCGCGCTCTCAGCACAGTAATTGGTTTACATAGGGATGCATATATGCAGCTGCTCAGTGTTAAAGCCCACTTGCCGAAAGGCGGCACATATGCACATGTCCAGTGGAAAGTGATTAAACAGCAATGAACACCAATATCCTGTAAATCAGGGGTGTCAAAACTGGTGGCCCTCCAGCAATGAACACCAATATCCTGTAAATCAGGGGTGTCAAAACTGGCAGCCCTCCAACTGTTGCAAAACTACAAATCCCATCATGCCTCTGCCTTTGGGAGTCATGCTTGTAATGGTCAATCGTGCAATGCCTCATGGGACTTGTAGTTTGGCAACAGCTGGAGGGCCGCCAGTTTGACACCCGTGCTGTAAAATGAACACACTAAAGATCTAAACAAGGCATTCTTTTTATTTGCCATAAGCAATGTTGCAATTTCACAATGGAATGATAACAAAAAGACACGAAAAAAAAAAAAATATATAAAACAATATATAATAAAGTGTGTGTACTTCAACTGACTTGTGCAGATAAGTGGCCTAAATGGGTGTTTTTTTTTTTTTTTAAATCCAGAATTCAGTCTGTCGAGGGCGACCGGCCCAACGCATTCTCTATAGCAGGGAATGATATTGAAGGTTTGTGAAATTGAACATTAGAACAGTTAAAATACAGGGACTTTCCCCGAACCCCCTGAACACAGGGATCAATAACACCCCTTTACACAAAGGGATTAAATGGAGTAAACAGGGGGAGGAGGCACTGAAATCTCTCGGAGAGAAAGTGCTAAAAAACCATTTGAGGTTTAAAAACATAAGAGGATGAGTGGAGTAGCGGGTTCACATCTGTAGCAGTTAAGACCATCATTGCAGACAGACAGGCGCGGGAAGGGGGTCTCGTGTCTGTCACAGCTTCACAGTTCCCGGGGGCAGGCTGTCGTTGCACAGTCTGTAGTATCGCAAGTCATTGACCAAGCGATGGACGCTCTGAGTAAACGATGGCAGATCCTGTGTGAAGAGATACAAAATGAAGAAAAAGGTTCAAGTCAAGGATTACAATCTGGTTTCCTTAAAGAGACCCGACCACTAGGAGAAGTGGGGAAACTGCTGCAGGTATGACTTGCAGGCACCTCTAGATGTGTTTAGCAAACTCCCGCACCTTCCCATCGGGGTGGAATGCTGGGCTGTTCTGACTGGCAGAGCTCTGCCTTTGCTGGCATGGGTTGGAGCTCCCCACAAACATGCAGGCTACGTCTCACCAACAGGAATATGTAAGGAGGTAGGAAGGGGCAGGCAGTCTTCAGCAAGATGTGTCGGGGCTTTAAGCCCGGGTTCACGTGTGGTGCGGTTTTCGGTGAGAATTGCCATAGTAGTTGCTGAGCGGTTCAGGTGCGATTTAGATGCGGTTCTGATGTGAGTTGGCAAGGCCCAAAATTGTATTCACAACTGGTGATGTGAGATTTAGCAGTGCTTCCATTGAAGTCAATGAACTGGCCCGCAATGCACTGCTAAGAAAACGCACAGGACTCTTATGCGGTGCACTGCATATGTGTGAGTGGGCACAACAGAACCAAATGTTACATTACATGTCATGCGAATCAATGCTTTCTAAAACGCATCTGAATTCGCACATGTGAGAACCGAGGCTAAATGTCAGAGCAGGTCAGAGGCGGCTGCAGCCGGTCAGAGGCGGCCGCAGCCGGTCAGAGGCGGCCGCAGCCGGTCAGAGGCGGCCGCAGCCGGTCAGAGGCGGCCGCAGCCGGTCAGAGGCGGCCGCAGCCGGTCAGAGGCGGCCGCAGCCGGTCAGAGATTTAGCACTGAAAGGAAGACTGCTGCAAGTTTGTAAACCCATTAGGTACCTGCCCACCTTTCCCACAGTGGAGGGTCTCTTTAAATATATTTTATTGGATTGTGAAACGCTAAATACACAATATATAAAACAGTATAAATGGCAGTAAATAGGGAATGCACAAGAGCTTGTTTTTCCCCTAGCTTTTGTGCAGTGTAAGGGTTTATTCCCATTTCTGTAATTGTGGTATGACCCATAGTTTTTTTTTTTTTTTCCCTAAATACCTTTTTATTGATGTTTTCAACAGTTTACAATCCACAAAACCAAACCATCGTAAACATCCTACACATTGGCCGTACATTCCTCACATAAGACATTAGTATCCTTATTTACACATAAATATAGTAAGGTCAAAGCTAGAAGTGGCATCAGAACAGTACTCTACTGAAGTGCTTCTCAACCTTTTTCCAGTCAAGGCAACCTTGAAAAGTATTTTCAGTCCCCTGTTGAAGGCTTGGTTCACACTACTGCGTATCAAAATTGCACTCCTTTCCGACACACAGACAAGCATGCTGCTCCTTAGCAGATGCACAGGGGTGTCATTAATTCTTAATGGTACCCCCTCACATAGGCAAAATGCAATGTGTTTTTTGTGGTGCAGCACAATTTAACCACTTCCTGTCCAGCCCATGTATATAAATGGCCGGACGGTGGCAGTGCAGGGTCGGGTGGCCGTTTATAAACGGCCTCCCCGTCCCCTGCTTGTGCGCGCTCCCTGGGAGCGCGCAGCACCGCGATCCGGTGCCCGCTGTGTCCTCCGGACACATTGGAACACCGATCATCATACGGGATCTGTGTGAGGTCCTGATCATGTGATCACTGATTGGCCAATCAGTGATCACATGCAGAGTAGTAAGCAAGATGTCACTTGTGACATCATTGCTTACTACTAGTGAAATCTGTGAATGATCACAGAGGTAACATGGTACAAGGCTATTCACAACAGCCTTGTACCATGTGACAAGCTGTGACCAATCACAACTCACAGTATTTCTCAATGGCTGCAAGAATGCAGCCAGAGAGAAGGAGAAATGATTGATTTTACAGCCTTTATGGGTGTAAAAGCAATCAGTGTAAAAAAAAAAAAAATAATAATAATCACCCCCCACAAGTAGTACAGTGTCACCATGGTGACACTGTACTGCTAGGGTGACAGTATGTAAAAAAAAAAAAAAAAATAAAACCATATAAAATTTTTTTTAAAAAAACAGACTTTTGGTTATAAACTAATTTGGGTTATTTTTTATTTTACTAAAAAGATAACCTAATACATTTTGGCCAAGATTGATGAATTATTATTTTCAAAATTTTATAAGAAAAACACATTTTTTCAAAATTTTTGGCCTTTCATTTATATAGCAAAAAAAAAAAAAAAAAATCCCAGTGGTGAATAAATACCACCAAAATAAAGTTTTATCTGTCTCAAAAAAATGATAAAAAATTCATACGGGTACAGTGTTGCATGACCGTGCAATTGTCATTCAAATTATGATAGCGCTGAAAGCTGAAAATTGGCCTGGACAGGAAGGGGGTGAAAGTGTCCGGACTGGAAGTGGTTAAAAAACACGTTAGGAATCTTCTGTGTGTTTTTGCAGGTAGGGAAACCCATTGAAATGAATGAACTGACCTACATGCAGCAACACAGACATGAACCTCCACTTTGGGGTGCTCACCTCCACACCCCCCCAAACTCCCTCTCTGCTCACCTCAACATTCTCATCTCTACTCACTTCTGCATCCCCACCCCCCCCCCTCACCTCTGTACCCAAGCTATGCTCTCCGATCATCTCTGTACCCAAACTATGCTCTCCGATCATCTCTGTACCCCAAAACTCTGCGCTCTCTGCTCACCTCTGTACCCCAAACTCCCTGCTCACTTCTATACCCCAAACTCCCTGCTCACTTCTATACCCCAAACTCCCTGCTCTCAGCTGTACCCCACACTCCCTGCTTAACCCTGTACCCCCCAACTCACCTCTGAACACAGGAGGTATATTTATGCCTCATCTCATCCCAGACCTTAGCCATGAGTATCAGTGTAGGGTATTGTGGACAGCTCCAAACTCCCCCCCCCCCCCCCACTTCCAAATGAGCAATTAAGTGATATTGGTTCGATTCAGGCAACAATATATTTTGAATGGGATCCTTCAAATTACGAACACCCCACCCAGAGAGATGCTGCAATTGTACATTTTGGCATATGGGACCGCCAATCCTCCATCATCCTTAGGCAGCTGTAGTATGGGAAAGCGGATTCGAGGTTGTTTCCCCTTCCATATTAAATTTCAATAAAGAGAATCATTTTGTTTAAACCATTTCTGTGTTACCCACGTTGGGGAATTGTGCAAAATATACAGCAATTGAGGAGCCCAAATCTATTAAAGAGGTTCATGCGACCCACAACAGACCGTGGGGCCATAGTTTTTACTGATGGTAACAGTCGATGATGTTTGTATAGATAGTTCAGGCGACAGTGCTGCATTGCTTAAAAGAAAAACAAATAATAATCCTTGCACAATTTCTTCCGCAGTAAACGTGTCTTAAAGAGGAACTTCACTCAATTTGTAAAAAATAAAAGCACAATTAGAAATGTTGTAAAATTACAATGTAAAAAAAATAAATAAATAATAGATATTTACTGGTAAATGCAGGCTATATTTTCATGGAGTTTTCATTTTTCCTGGTCATAACCTGGTGGCCATTTGCAACAGAGGCAGAAAATCCAAAAGGGATTTGCAATAATGGTAGAGAGCTCAAAAGTAATAATAAAAAACAAGCCCAGCCAAAAGTACAAGCGCCTTAAGAAAGACTCTTTCCATATCTTAAATACTGGTGTGGGGGGGCACACACCCAGTAAAATTGCCCCATATCTAAATAGAAAATGTGGTATTCGGGTCCCTTTTCCGACAGTGAAAATGTTAGCATTCTATTCTTTGCTCATAAAACCTCCATCAGTAAGTACAAAGAAATGATAAAAAAAAAGCTCATATTGCACAGGACTCAGGTCACCCTCGTTAACCGCTTCCCAACCGCCCTATAGCAGAAATACTGCTACAGGGCGGCATGGGACACAAACATATACGTGATTTTGAATTTGTGGGTAGGGGCGCGCCCCCTACCCATGCTGCAGCTGTCAATCGCCATGTCCCGGTCAGTGATTACCCAGGATCTCAGACGGGGAGGAGAATGGTTTTGTTTACTAACAGTTCTCCTCCCTGTCAGCTTGGGCACACTGCTTTGGATGGCTATGCACAGCACAGCTATCCAAAGCAGTGTGATTACAGTGAAGCAAACTGACACCGCCCCCTAGTAAAACACACCCAGCACGCAGTTAACCCTTTGATCGCCCCTCATGTTAACCCCTTCCTGCTCAGTGCCATTAGTACAGTGTCAGTGCTTTTTATTAGCACTGATCACTGTACTGGTGTCGCTGGGGATGTCAGTGACAAGTCAGTTCCCCCCAGTGTCAGTGCCATTACTATTTAAAAAAAAAAAAATAAACAGTGTGTGTGTGGTTACATAGTTAGTCTGGCTGAAAAAAAAGACAAGTCCATTCAGTTCAAGCACAGAAAAAAAAAAAAAAAAGTTATGATCCTATACCCACAGATGAAGGCAAAGAAAACCAACAAAACATGATCCTGCTCCTGCAGGGGAAAAAAATTCCTTCCTGATCCCCCGAGAGGCAATCAGATATTCCCTGGATCAACTTTACCTATAAAAGGTTAGTATCCAGTTATATTCTGTGTATCTAAGAATATATATACACACACCGCCATTTCAAAACGCTATAACTTTCATGTAAACCAATTAATTTACAAGTATTGGGATTTTTTTTTCTTTAGCAAAAATGTAGCAGAATACAGTTTGGCCTAAATTTATGGCAACATTTGATTTTAATTTTTTTTACTGGACATATTTAATAGCAAAAAGTCAAAAATATTGTGTTTTTCTCAAAATTGGTCTTTTTTATAACGCAAGAAATAAAAAATGCACAGGCGATCAAATACCACCGAAAGAAACCTCAATTTGTGTGGAAAATAAAAAAAAAAAAAAAAAAAAGACAGAAATTTTATTTGAGTGCAGCGTTGCATGACCGCACAATTGTCAGTTAAAGTAACACAGCGCCGTAATGCAAAAAATGTCCTGGTCAAGAAGGGGGGGGGGGGGGGGGGGGTAAATCCTCAAGAGGGCAAATGGTTAAACTGTTCCCAAGACAAAGACACCTTTGCTAATGCTGAAAGACACATAGGGGTACACTATTACATGTGTTTTGGGACTGCCCTTCCATCTGCCTGTTCTGGCAACAAGTTCTACATATAGTACAACTTGTGGACATTATGGGGGAGATTTACTTAATCTGGAGTGTGCAAATTCTGGGGCAGCTCTGCATAGAAACCAATCAGCTTCCAGGTTTTATTGTCAAAGCTTAACTGAACAAGCTGAAGTTAGACGCTGATTGGCTCCCATGCACAGCTGCACCAGATTCTGCATTCGCCAGTTTTAGTAAATCAACCCCTATGCTCCTTTGATAACCCCACCATGGTCCTGTTACACCTAATGCCCCGTACACACGATAAGAAAATTGTACGAAAAATTTTGCAGAACCACTGATCGAACGATTTTCTCTTCGTTGGTGAGCAGGATGTTTTAACCGTTAACGATATTGTGAACGAAAAAATCCGGTTGAACAACAGTGAAAAATTGTGTCGTTTCGCATACGAACTACCAATTTTCTATGCGGTGGTATGACGGTCGTAGGAAAAAAATCTATCAAGCGCTATCACGCATGAGCGGAAACAGAAGATGACCCGGATGTTTATGTCCAAGGAACCTTCGTAAACACAAACGAAAAATCCAAATGTTAAAAGTAGATTGGCCTAATGAGATGATGAAACCAGAATTGTGCAGATTATATTTTATGTATCACTATTTATGTATATAGGTCATGTAATAAACGATATTATACTCATTGCTGGTCATTGTTGTGTATATCGCTCGTTCTGCCCGGAAGGGCGTGGCTACAAGGTCACACGCACACCGCATCACTTCCACTTGTACGGAAGACGTCAACACTACATACTGCCAAACGAACGATTTTTTTTAGATTGGTTAATGTGGGCCACGATTTTGACCAACGAACGAACGCCTCTCGGTCGTCGAATGACCGATCGGTCGATTTTCTAATCGTTTATTCCCTGCCTTAACACCGCTTTCTCAAAAGCGTTATTACAAGTCTTTACTTATCCACCATTTAAATGGAGCATGGGCTTGTATACCACGTCTGCGGAAACAACAGACCTCTCCCACAGTAACAAAGTGGTTTGCTGGGGTGAACAGTATACAAATGGATGGAACAATTTAATTCCACCCTGAAAGACAAAAGCTGAAGCCAGATGAATGTACCTGGAACAGCTCCAGTTATCTACTGAATACTTACAATATTTCCTGGAGAAAACTCCTGTGGACATCCTCTCTGCATCCCCCCCCCCCCCCCCCCCAACATTTTTTTTCCTTCCCCCTACCCTACTATCCCCTTATACAGTATCCAACCCTCCTCCTCTAACCACACTTACTTCCTTCTCCTTACTTTGACCTTTAACTTGCTTCTTTGCCCTCGCAGATCTAATGCTTTATAGTGACTAAACTTTGCCTTGTATTATAGAACACAAATTTCAACACCAAGTGATGTTTTGTCTATTGTTGTCACTATTACCTTACATACCCTTTCTGCTTACATTGTGAAAGTTATTGCTATGCAGAGTTCTGCTGTGAACCTCTAAATGAGGAATTGGAAAAAACAAAAAAAAAAAAAAAAAAAAAAAACACAGAGAATGAAAACCGTAGCCTGCATTCAAACAGTAAATATTGATTTCTACATTAGCACTTTACAACACTTTTCGTAGTGCATTTACCAGGAAGTAAAAGGACGGGTAATCATCGGTCCCCCTACATCCTGGTATTATTTGCTGCCCTCCACGATGACATGTGCACTCAACACTCTAGCCTGGGGAATCATATTGTTTACATAGCATAGCCTGCACACCCAGCACTTTCGGAGTTGCCGGAAATAATCTGAGATATACGACTTTGGGATCTGCAGGCAGCACAGGCAATGTTGTTCTCACTAAGGTGACAAAGACGGAAATGTAGGGGCAAGAATAGCACAAAGGTTTTTGTATAAAAAAGAAAAAAAAAAAAAGAAAAAAAGAATAGACAACTAAAAAAGAAAAAAACAAAGAAGAAAAAAAAAAAAAAAGAAGAAAAAAACAAAAGAAAACAAAAACAAAAAAAACAAAAACAAAAAAAAAGAAAAAAAACAAAAGAAAAAAAACAAAAGAAAAAAAAAAAAAAAAAAAAACAAAAGAAAAAAACAAAAGAAAAGAAAAAAACAAAAGAAAAAAAAGAAAAGAAAAAAAAAAAAGAAGAAAAGAAAACAAAAGAAAAAAAAAAAAAAAAGAAAAAAGAAGAAAAAAAACAAAAAAAAAGAAGAAAAGAAAACAAAAGAAAAAAAAACAAAAGAAAAAAAGGAAAAAAAAAAAAGAAGAAAAAAAAAAAAGAAAAAAAGAAAAAACAAGAAAAGAAAAAAAAAAAAAAAAGAAAAAAAAAAAAAAAAAGAAAAAAAACAAAAGAAAAAAAAAAAGAAGAAAAAAAAAAAAAGAAGAAAAACAAGAAAAAAAGAAAAGAAAAAGAAAAAAAGAAAAGAAAAAAAAGGGGGGAGGGGGGGGGGGGGGAGAAATAATGCAACCCTGTTTAAGGAAGGAGCAACTGTAGTGCATGATAGAAAGGTTATACAGTATGTGACCAAAGACACCTCCTTCCCTTCCTGTGACTTTACTGTTACTACCCATTATCAAGCATGCTCCAAGTGAACAACCTATTTAACAGTGTCCATGATGGGTTTTGATGCACTGACCCATCCACCTAGGTGCCAAGTGTAAGAAGTACTGTGTGGGGATCTTACCCGTTCCATCTTGAAGTTTCGGGCTAGGACATTCTTCTGGCTGGTGTCCAAGCCCTGGCAGCCAGCTAGAAACTCCGGTAAGAAGGCGGAGAAGAAAGTGCTGAAATCCACAGATGCCATGTTATAGACCGCTATGCCAATCTCCTCCTGCAGGAGGTCATGGGACTTGTGAATGAGAACCTGGAGCAGAACACTGACAAACTGTGGCAGCATCATGGCCCGGAAGAGCTTCTACAAGGAGAAGATAGAGAGTGTTAGTTGACAAAGGGGTACAAGCTGCTATTATAATAATAGGTGCTGTGTGCAGTCTGGCAGAAAATAAATCCTAACACAAGCCAAACAATCCAACATCTTGCACAAGCAACCTGGAACTCTTCCACAAAGTTTTTGGCTACACTAATCTGCAGAAATACATCAGTGCTTACTTTCTGAGGGAAGGGGATTTTCTTTTTTTTTTTTTTTTTTTTTTAGTTCATAAGGACAATTTTATAGAGTCAGCCATCTAAGACAATCTTCCAAGTCCCTTTAATATCTGTTGATCCTGCAGGCAAGTCCACTTTGTGTAGCTTTCTATGATGGTGTGGAAAGGATGCTGCGCTGCTCCTGAATGAAGAGCATAGCTGTCACCCTCATGCAGGCTGTGCCTGCTTGCACTACAGTGGGATGAAAAATGTTGCAGGAGACGTGGCTATTAGTATTGTCAATGGTAATTTTTTTTATTACAGGTACATATACATATATATATATATTTTGTGGGAACTCGCTTCAAATGGTAGAGCTTCTGTAACGCACACAGCAACTCGCTTGCTTTTTAAGGCCTTTTTAGCCCACTTTTATTTAAATGAAAGTTCAAAACATCCGAAGTTTCCCACACAGGGGTATCTATCATCCACATAAACAAAATTCAGCCTCCTGGCTCTCTCGGATATACACAATCTTCCACTGGCCTTCCTCTTCAGGCTTACATCTGTCTCCTGCAGACTCTTTCAAAAACATGGCTCTCGCACACAGCTAGCCACTAGCACACAGCTACTACCAAGCAGCTCCTTGCCGCTTTTGGCTTCCACCTCTCCATGGTGGAGCCCTCCTGAGTCTTCCAGGTGGAGCCCTCCTGACTCCCGTCTTCCAGGTGGAGCCCTCCTGACTCCCGTCTTCCTGGTGGAGCCCTCCTGACTCCCGTCTTCCAGGTGGAGCTTCCCTCCTGACTCCCGTCTTCCAGGTGGAGCCCTCCTGACTCCCGTCTTCCAGGTGGAGCCCTCCTGACTCCCGTCTGCCGGGGTGGAGCCCTCCTGACTCCCGTCTGCCGGGGTGGAGCCCTCCTGACTCCCGTCTGCCGGGGTGGAGCCCTCCTGACTCCCGTCTGCCGGGGTGGAGCCCTCCTGACTCCCGTCTGCCGGGGTGGAGCCCTCCTGACTCCCGTCTGCCGGGGTGGAGCCCTCCTGACTCCCGTCTGCCGGGGTGGAGCCCTCCTGACTCCCGTCTGCCGGGGTGGAGCCCAGAACCCTGGTCTTGACTCTATGAAAAGGCCTGCACATACCTGTGCAATCAGTCTTCTGGCCATTCCAAAAACCTGGTCCCAGGATTGGAGAATTCATCCCTCCCAGATCTCTTTGTAAGGTCTGTTTTGGGATCTGGAGCCTGGAGATTTCAAACAAAGGAGGAAAGTGAAAAGCCACTTTCCTCCGTATCAAACACTTACCCTGGAGCCCCTCAACCTGCCTTGTTGAGAATCCTGGGTGACAGATCGTCACACTGTCACAGCTTATACACACACACACACACATTATACACATACACACACACACACACATATACACACACACACACACACACACACACATATACACACATATATACACACACACACACATACACACACACACACACATATATTACAGATACACTGTCAATATACGCAGCGCTTTACACAAATGTTGAGCATTCACATCAGTCAGACCTTATAATCTGTGGTCTCTCTAACTCACATTCATACATACACATACTAGAGCCAAATTTAGACAGGAGCCAATTAACCTACCAGCATGTCTCTTGAGTGTGGGAGGAAACCGGAGCACCCAAAAGAAACCCACGCAGGCACAGGGAGAACATCTAAACTCCAAGCAGGTAGTGCCATGGTTTGGATTTGAACGGACAACCCTAATGAGGCTAGGCGGAAGGGCTAACCACTTAGCCACTGTGCTGATCCACAAGCTTGTTAGGCTGGCCATACACTATACAATTTTCTGTCCAATTTCCTTTAGATTTACCTTCAACTATGTAGTGCGAGGGCCTGCCTAATTAGATACAATTGAAATTGTTAAGGTTTGACCTCATATTATATAGTTTTTGGTAAATCTAAAGCAAAATTCTCAAAAAAATTGTATAATGTATGGTCAGCCTTAGTATGCACCTGACCATACCTAGTCCTGCCCGCTGCTTTCTGAATTGACAGCATTGCCTCTGTTGCTGAAACCTCCCACTGTAATCTGCAGTGTCCGTCAGGGGGAGCATGGGAGCCACAAATGAAGGCCTAGGCTCAGTCAGGGAAGGTAAAGGAAATCTTTTGTTTACTTTATGAGGCTTGTGCATCACGCAGTAACTGGATTTGGTGCTTGCTGAGCGGTCACACCCAGGAGACTTTAGTTGCATTTTAATGTTTCCCTTTTCTAGTAGCCTCTATGGCACCATGAACCAAATACAGGGGAAGAAAAATTGACAAATTAGTGTTTCCTTTGATTATTATTTAATACTTCTGCAGTCTCCTCTTTGATCTGAGGATCCTGCTTATGTTAACTAAAACAAAACAAAATTCCTCATTTAAAAAACAAAAAAAAAAAAAAGCAACGATTGTAAACTAACTAAAGAAAAAGTTAGAAATGAGAATGGCCACTAAGACTACAGGGTTATTTCATGAAAACTGTGGAAAAGAAAAACTACCAATTTAAAAGTTGTCAGCAGCAAATTGTATGACATGTAAAAAAAAAAAACCCACAGAAAACACAATACTGATATAAGTGCTGATCACATGGAATCGACTACACCTCACCTTGTGGTACAGTTTGTGTTTGCTGTTGAGGGTCTCCAGATAGCCGAGATTTTGTTTAAATAGATGTATGTCAGGCTGCAGGAAAGACTGTCCAAATGCCTAAAACAACAAAAATGATACTTCATGACATTTTACATTGTAGATCTGCAGCCTTCTCTAACCTTCCATTTATCTAGAAGTACAAGTGACAGCAGGCCAGGTTTATTCAAATAGAAGGAAGACAAGTCTGTGGTGACCACAGCTACTGATTTTACAGTGTAAGGTCCAGTTCACACCACATGCAGTGCACTGCGTTTTTTTTCTTCATCAAAAAGGCATGGATAGTATATTCTATGGTTTCCATTGGCATAGCTCACACACGCGGTCAGTTTCCAGGGGAGAAAAAAAAAAAAAAAAAAGAACACGCTGCATTTTTTTTCTCCACTGAACTGTACAGAAATGCACAACAAAAATGCACATATTAACCTCTTTGTGCCGGCGCCTCCCAGCCCTTTAAGAATTTCAGAAGCCGGGAGGCAGGGCGGGGTTTTAAGGTCACGTGACTGCCGTGATTCGCCATCATATGATCGGAAATGATCGAAAGGGGAGATCGGGACCTTTCCGTGGGTCACGGACATATGTGCTGGCAGCGTGCGCTCTCAGCACATATGTATTTTCTAATTGCATGCAAATATGCGCCTGCTCGGCATCAAGGCCCAGACATCGAGAGGTCGCATATTTGCGTGCGCTTGTTGTCAAGGGGTTAAGGGGAAAAAAAAAAAGAAAGAAAGAAAGAAAGAATGGGGGGGGGGGGGGGTGAAATGCACTGGAACGCATCAAAAAACATGCATGCAGAAATACATCCAGACTGCGTTTCTATGGTGTGAACTGGCCCTAAAGCCCAGAGATTTCATTCCTCTCCCCCAAACCTCAGTTCTGTGCTCAGAGCCAAGAGAAAATATCTGACACTTCCATAGCATGTGACAGCACTGGGCTAATCCTAGATTGTAAGCTCCAAGGATCAGGCCCTCCTAACCCTCTTGTATTGTTGCTGTATTGTCTCCCGTTATATTGTAAAGCGCTGAGCAAACTGTTGGCGCTATATAAATCCTGAATAATAATAATATATAAATCCTGTATAATAATAAATAAATCCTGTATAATAATAATAATAAATAAAGCCTGTATAATAATAAATAAATCCTGTATAATAATAATAATAATAATAAATAAATCCTGTATAATAATAATAATAATAATAATAATATATAAATCCTGTATAATAATAATAATATAAATCCTGTATAATAATAATATATAAAGCCTGTATAATAATAATAATATATAAATCCTGAATAAAAAATATATAATCCTGTATAATATATAAATCCTGTATAATATATAAATCCTGTATAATAATATATCAATCCTGTATAATTTAATTAATATATAAATCCTGTATAATAATTAATCCTGTATAATAATATATATATAAATCCTGTATAATAATCATCATCATCTACGAATCTAGTGATAGGTTTAAATTTGCATTTTTCCAAGTGGATGAATGGAGCAGTGGGGGAGCAAAATAAAACAGGTATGTTTTACTGGGGACAGGCAAGTTAGAGTGAATCTGTGCTTTGCCCGTGGTGGGCAACAACGATGGACTTTAAGGATAGCCCAGAAGGAATAGCAGGGTTCAGTTCCAACTGGATAGGGGAACAAATGAAATCATTTTCTTTTAAAAGTCTTACCTAAAAATATTTATAGAGCAGTAAACAAAGTCTTCAAATGTCACAGAAATAAGAGCAGAAGCAGAGCCCCAAAAGGGAAGGGGCAGGTATTAAACTTCAGAGGTCTGCTCCTTCCCCTCCATGCATAATTAAAAAATAATATCAACCCCATGCCCAGAGTGACTGAGCAGAAACATGTACACAATCTGGAAAGGCTAACCAACCAATTACCATGCTGCTTGTGTTCAACAGAGGGTTCATCATTCACATGGTCACACTAGCTTTGTCAGCAAGCGTCAGACAAGCGTTTGGGAAGCGTTTTTAACGCTTCTCAAACGTCTATTAAAATTCTGCACATGGCAGCACACAGTGCGGTTCACACGGCAGCATTAGCGTCGTGGCAAAAACTGACGCCTCGTGTCGAGTAAGGAGGAGTTGAAGCCTCCCATTCAAGTCTATGGTGCCGCTCCGCAAATGCCTGGAAGGTGTTTGCGGTTGCGAAGCGTTAATACCACTTAACTTAATTATAGGAGTTTGTGGTGTCGTTTTAACGCTTGGCAAATGCCTATCAACCGCCTCAAAACTGCGCAGGTGGTCCGTAAAGACAGTCAAATGATAAATTCACCCTAGATGGGACAGGCTAAACGCGTTGAGAGACTAACTCCCTTCTTCAGAGCTCTGAAGAAGGGAGTTAGTCTCCTGAAAAGCATTAGCCTGTCCCATCAAGGGAGAATTTATCCATTTGACTGTCTTTACGGACCACCTGCGTAGTTTTTATTCCCTTTTGGGTTGTAAATATATATCTCTAGTTTTTAATATACGTGGTGTACCACGGTAATGCACGATGAGAGTGCGCCCTTGTTTGTTTTTGTTCACCAGTACCTAGATTTCCAATTCTCTGAAGGGCTGCACCTCAATGTTTGGCATTCAGAATTTCTTTTGCATGAATATTTGAGCGCTGGTGGTTTCGTTTGTTCTTTTGGATCGCCTCAAAACTGCGCATAGGGCGTTTGGGGAGAGTTTGAGGAGCAATAAAAACACTTCCCAAACGCCTGTCAAACGCTATAGGCGAGTTAGAAAAGATGTCAAGTGTGAACGAGCCCTTACTGAGAACACAGCAGTTAACATTCGTCCAATGTAATGATTCTAGCTTTGTGCTCACCTGCATCACTGCAATAAACTGAGCCTGATTCTCCATTGGCTCATCACCGCCATCACGATGCACGCTGGCCAGGACAGAAGAGCGATAGAAATACCTCCAGTTGTGGTGTAAAAGCTGGAATAATAGTTCGAACAGTTCAGCCTTCACATCTGGGGAGGGGCGCTGAAGGAGGAACCAGGAAATTAGCACCATGTGTGAGACAGGAATACATAGCAATCACACGTGACTTTACCGTGTTGTGTTTTAAGGGGGGGGGGGAGCAGATTTGAGTGTGGCCTGGCTAAAATTCAGATTCCCTTTTCTTTATAATTAATACAAATTTCTTGATGTAGACCTAACAGTGGAATATCCTTTCCCCATCCGGATATCACTTACCAATAGAGAGTAGGAGGGCAGTAAAAAGACTTCCCTTTTGGGGGGAGGAAAAAAAAAAACGCTGCTACAGGATGTTGGTCATATGACCAAAGGCAGATACATTGGTCAGTTGGTCTTAGTTGAAAGGAAGGATCACCTGGCTGGCTGAAGTTGAAATGATACTCTGGGGGGAGGATGCTAGGATTCAATTACAGGCCCATTTTAACCACTTCAAGTCTGGACACTTTCACCCCCTTCCTGTCCAGGCCAATTTTCAGCTTTCAGCGCAATCACACTTTGAATGACAATTGCACGGTCATGCAACACTGTACCCATATAAATTTTCTAGCATATTTTGGTGGTATTTATTGACCACTGGGATTTTTTATTTTTTTTGCTATATAAATGAAAAAGTCCAAACATTTTGAAAAAAGTGTTATTCTTATAAAAGTTTGCAAATAAATAGTCTTTCTTCATAAATCTTGGCCAAAATGTATCCAGCTATCTTTTTAGTAAAAAAAAAAAAAAAACAAACCCAAATCCGTTAATATAAAAATTGTTGAAAAATTTTTGGTTATAATTTTTTTTTTTTAACATACCGTCACTCTGACACTGTACTACTTGTGGGGGGTGTGATGAATATTTTTTTTACACCGATTGCTTTTACACCCATAAAGGCTGCAAAAGCAATAATTTCTCCTTCTCTCTGGCTGCATTCTTGCAGCCATTGAGAAATACTGTGAGAGTTGTGATTGGTCACAGCTTGTCACATGGTACAAGGCTGTTGTGAATAGCTTTGTACCATGTGACCTCTGTGATCATTCACAGATTTCACACGTAGTAAGCAATGATGTCAGAGGTGACATCTTGCTTACTACTATTCATGTGATCACTGATTGGCCAATCAATCAGTGATCACATGATCGGGATCTCACACAGAGATCCCGTACAGCGATCCAGAGGACACAGCGGGCACTGGATCGCGGTGCCCGTGCGCTCCCAGGGAGCGCGCACAGGCAGGGAATGCGGGGAGAGGACGTTTATAAACGGCCACCTGACCCTGCACTGCTTCCGTCCGACCTATGTACATAAAACGGCCAGACGGGAGCAGTGCAGAAGTGGTTAAAGTGAAGCTTTTGCATCATAAAACTGTACAAACTAACAGTACCTACAATGTGGGGCCCCTGGATCCTCCCACTTTAACAGAATGGTTAGTCTGAACACTTTGAAGTAGACCTATAGTGTAATTTCTTACTATTCCCATTCCTCTAACATGGACCCTCCTGCCGCACTAATTCAATGCTCTCCATGATTAATCTCCAAGGCCTCTGTCATGAGAACATAAAAAATAGGGCTTAAAGCCCAATTCCAGGAATAGTATCACTAAAAAAAAAAAAAAAAAAATGAATCAATGCAGAGGCTGTCAGTGCTGTAAATACTGTAGACAGCATCAGCTACCTACAGTATACAGCTCTGTGTTCCGGCAGCGGTACAGGGACTACCAGTTTCCAGAACAAAATCGAGTTGGGCTGAGTGCCGCTCAGCCATTCTCAGGAAGCCTTGTATTTTTACGAACGAATACAAGGATTCCTCGGATTGGCTGAGGTGGAGAGGCGAGTGGATGGACTTCACAGAATGGATTACTAAAAGGGAAATATTTCTTTTGGGTCAGCTTGGTTCAAACTATTTGAAGTCATAGTATTCCTGGAGTTGGAACTTTAACCTCCTCGGCGGTCTGATTATTTTCGATTTTTTTGTGCTGAAAGCGTGGTACCATTTTTTTGCATGGAAATATGTAGTTTGTTATTGTAGGCTGTAATTTTTAGGAATAACTCACTGAAATCTGTCCGAACAAGAGTCTATTAAACATCCCGGGTAGGATAAAATTTGAAACACGAAATCATCAATTATAATTTAATAAATAATCATAAAAAATAATATAAATATAATAAATTTAATTCAATAATATAATCAAACCAAAAACACTGAAATTTGAAATACAGAGGCAAATTCGCACATCGCTGAGCAAAGTCATTTTCAGTGTCTGATGACTAATTTCCCCATGAATCATTATCACTCAATTCTGCAAGTGGTTCTAATTTACTATCGCTGTTCTCTAGCCGGTCTAAAACCACTTTTGATGTAAAGGGACACTTTTTGGACGCCATGGACTTTTCTAAGTTTCTAGACAGAAAGAACAGTCAAAATGCAGGCAGGGGGCACAGTACAAAGCAGTAGGGACAAAATGTATGTGAAATGCATTGAAACAGCAATGTTTTACTATGTAATTGAAATTTTTTAAAAAAAATTTCATTTTTTTTAAAAATTTCAAATTTGCCGCCGGTTCCGGCGCCCGTACGTCCCGACGTCACAGGGACCGGAACACGGAAGCCGGATGCCGACATCGGCCGGAGGAGATGGCTGGGGACGCTGCAGGGGACACATCGCGGGAGCGAAGGACAAGGTAAGTGCTGCAGGGACCCCCTGAGCAACGCCGCATGGTAAGCCCGAGTGTAGCTCGGGGTTACCGCTTTTGGTACTGACATTTTACCCCGAGCTACACTCGGGAATACCGCTAAGGAGATTAAAAGGACTGATGTCCTGGAAGGGACAGCTAATTGGCCCAAACACCGATCCATCCTTTTGAATGAGATCACCTGACCGATGCCTTGTCTTGCGCAAAGTTAGTCTGCAAACTTTGGAGAGCTGGCGGGTAAAATGCGCAAAGGCTTATATCAAAGTATGCCCAGCAAAGTACACATGAAACACATACCTCAGCGATAATGGGGTACAGCTGCTCCATGCACAGGGACAGTATACTGGGCAGGAACGGCTTAAAGGCCTGGCCGGGTTCCTGCACTACAACCTGCAGGATCTTTAGAAACTTCTCCACCACATGGCACCCCGCGCTGCCCTCCTGCAGGATACTTTCTGCCAGCTGCTGCCTGCCAGGGGGAGAGATAATGAGAGGTTCAGTCAGTAAATGTTTTTCAGCTGCTTTTCACAGAAATACAAGAGAGGAAAGAAGGAACACGTCCTGGAAAACGTATGGAAATCTCTCCGTATACAAATTACTTCAGTCCCTAACCCAGAACAATTGTGTAGATAAGGAATTCTGACTATTAGGGCTCATGTACACTGCAGCTGATAAACTCACATTTAGGAGCTGTTCAACGGTTTTTTTCAGCAGCCCCTGAACTCTCCCTAATGTTTTCCTATGTGTCCATGTACACATCTTCGTTTACAGTCGTTTACAGGCAGTTGAGTTTACAGTCTTTTTTTGAACGCAGAAAACTCGCATTCATCAGTCGATTTTTATCAGCGTCTCAAATGCAAAATATAAACGCAGCTAAATGTGGCACATCGCGTTTATAAGCGTTTGCATTCAAATTTTTTTTTTTTTTTTTTTTTTTTTTTTTTAAACTCTTCCAGTTCCTGATGCTGTCCAGAGCCTTTTCATCATGAAAAATGCATGCAAAGCCTTTTCAAGGTACTCAAATGGACAAAAACACTGAACACAGGATGTTCCTACTAAGCTGGTCACACATTGTAATGACCAATTCACACCTCAGACCTCTCCCACCCTTGGAAACAAAAGATATGTTAATGACCATTCACACCTCAAACTCCTCATGAAGACCCCCTGCCAGGTAGCCTTAATGACTCCCTCCACCAGACACCTTTCCCACCCTTGGAAACAAAAGAAATGTTAATGAGCAACTCACACCTAAGCTAATCTCAACACGTACTGCTGTCTCTGCTTCTACTCTGTATTTCTCTGAAACAGTCTGAAATAGTTAATAATTTACCACTTTTCAGTGCATTCTGGGCATTTGGGAGGTTCTCCTGTGCTTATCTTTAAAAAACGCTTCAAAACGCAAACGCGCATAAATGCGGCTAAACGTGGTATGCAAGCGTGGCTAAACAGACGTTTTTAAACCTACATTTTCCAGCAGTCAGTTTCCATCGTTCAGAAGTGTCCCGTGTACATGGGGCCTTAAAGCTGTTTTAAGAGGCAATTTTGTAAAAAAAATAAATAAAAAACGTTATGCTCACCTGCTCCGTGCAATGGTCGCAGGTTTGCACAGAGCAGCCCCCAACCTTCTCTTCGGGTCCCCCACCGGTGATCTTGGCTCTTCTTCTGTCTCTGCCCCATTAGCGTTGCACGGGCTCAATCCTGAGCAGGGCTGGGCGAGTACAATAAATGTGTTCGTGATTAACCCCTGAGCTACCAGTTCATATCCAATTCTTGGAACCTATTTTTTTTTTTGCCCAAAAAATTGATAGAAAAGAACATAAAGCTGGTGTTTAGGTTGTTGCATGCACGCAGCTGTATTCACATAAAACTCAAAATAAAAAATATTCAAAATAATTACTACATATACATGCCAGTTCATATCATCATAAATGAATGGGTGACAGTTCATCTAGTGAAGATGTGAAATCCTTGTTGAAAAAAAATGTTCCAGTGCTGCAATAGCCACTTTCCGTGCACCTCTGCTCACAGTGCTCTCACCTTAGTGATAGGATACAGCACAGGTGTAATGATATCTAGCTTGGTGTTATATACACACATAATTTATATTCTTTTCTATCCATTTTCACTTTTGGGGGGCAAAAAAAAAAAAGTGCCAAATATTAGATTTGAACTGGTAGCACAGGGGTTAATCACAAACCCATTTATTGTACTTGCCCAGCCCGACTTTCACATCACTTGATGAACTGTCACCCATGCATTTTTGATTATATGAACTGGCACAATTGTATATGTAGTAGTTATTCTGAATTTTTTATTTTGAGTTTTATGTGAATACAGCTGCGTGCATGCAGCAACCTAAAAACACACATTTTATGTTCTTTTCTATCCATTTTTACTTTTTGGGGCAAAAAAAATAGGTGCCAAGAATTGGATTTGAACTGGTAGCTCAAGGGTTAATCACGAACACATTTCATTGTACTCACCCAGCCCTGCATTTTGATATGAACGGGCCTGATTGTATATGTGATTATTTTGAATATTAGTTTTTTATTTTAGGTTCTCTCACTTTAATACGGTTTACTGAAGATTGTTTTAGCTTTACGTTATCAACACGTGGTTTGTTTAGAGACTGGTAGGGTGGCACGGATTCAATTTATAACGTATATGATGTGCGAGTCCATTGACAGACAGACAGACAGACACACACACACACACACACACACACACACACACACGCGTGCGCACACACGCGCACACACGCACACACACACAGTGAGGCTCAGCCCCACCCCCCTACTCTCAGGGTTTCACTGACAGCAACAGGAGCCAATGGCTCCCGCTGTTCTCAGCCAAACTTGTGAGAGCAGAGTCAATACAGGACTCGGGTAGGTATTTAGGGAAGAGGGAAAGGTAAAGCACTGGGTCAATACAGGACTCGGGTAGGTATTTAGGGAAGAGGGAAAGGCACAGCACTGGGTCAATACAGGACTCGGGTAAGTATTTAGGGAAGGAAAAGGCACAGCACTGGGTCAATACAGGACTCGGGTAGGTATTTAGGGAAGAGGGAAAGGTACAGCACTGGGTCAATACAGGACTCAGGTATGTATTTAGGGAAGGTAAAGGCACAGCACTGGGTCAATACAGGACTCGGGTAGGTATTTAGGGAAGAGGGAAAGGCACAGCACTGGGCCAATACAGGACTCAGGTAAGTATTTAGGGAAGGGAAAGGCACAGCACGGGGTCAATACAGGACTCAGGTAAGTATTTAGGGAAGGGAAAGGCACAGCACGGGGTCAATACAGGACTCAGGTAAGTATTTAGGGAAGGGAAAGGCACAGCAAGTGGCAAAACTTTAATGCAGGGAAGGCATTAAGGTGAAAAAAAAAAAAGAAAAAGAAGATTACCTATAGAACCACTTTAACTTTTCTGTTTCCTGACTCAAAAGGGTACAGAGGTCAATTCAGGACAAAGTAAGTGTATGTGTAAAGACTACACCTCTCCCGTATCCCTTCCTACCTTAGCTGGTGAAAAATCTTGATCTTCCAGGAATGGGTGAACATGTGACAGTACTCAGGTCTAGCAGCCAATCCCTATGCCTAGGCACGGTCACATGATGGAAGGGTGCAGTCTTCGCTCCTTCTAGGCTCCAACACCAGTTGACACTGGCTATTTTGACGACAGAGGAAGGAGTTAAAGTGGATAAAGTGAGTATTACTGGGTCATAGAAGGGTGCTTCTGCATCAAAACATTCCCATGTAAAAATACAAACTGGGTATCTAATAGGGTTTCTGAGTCACAAGGGCTTTACTGACCCGGAACCCTGGATCAATAGACCCGAAAATGCCCACTGGACCTGATCAGCAGTGAGCTTCTAATTGGCACTGAATGTGAAACAACATGAAGTGACTTCACTAAAGATTACAGGACTGCTAAAAACCAGCTTTTGGTGAGCACTATTCTTACTTAGGACTCATTTCCATCGTGCTGAATAGACAGAGCTTGTGATTACCTGGTGAACATGTTGAGGAAGGTTTGTATAATTTGCTCAGTGAACGGGACTCCCATTTGTACCCGCAGTCCTTGAAACAAGGCCAAGAAGAAGCTCAGCATTTCCTCTGTCACATCTATAAAGAGGGAGACAGTGGTGTGTTATCTGTGAATTTACGCCAAATTCTATATTATTACATAGAGAATGTACGTCCAAGTGTTAGAAGCACCTCATTGTCCTCCTTGCAGTGCAGTTGATGTTTGACAGCAGGGCTTTGCATAGGACATCCAGCAGTATGAAGATGGGAGATCTGCGACAGCCTGCACACTAACATCACCAAGTCCTCTATCGTTTATATTAGTTATATCCCTTTCTGGCTGAGTGATTGATGCCTGTCTAAGAGCTGAACACTTGGGTTATCGCTTTCCCTTCAAGGCATAGCAGGTTACTTCAAGGTCTGGGTTATTTTCATCTTTGGAAGCCCAAGGAGGTGCCCAGGTGGAGCCAAGATAGCAAAAGGGAGACGAGGAGTGTGATACTTTTGATCACTCTATAATTAAGTGGTCATGGCAGTTTGGCTTTTACGGTGGTAGTGTGCTGATTGTCTCTGACACCAAAGATGGTGCTGGGATCTTTTGCTTGAATTTTTTTTTTTTATAAAACTATACTTTATGGACTTTATTTTGATTTTTTTTTAGCACTGCATTTATGATATAGATTGTTTAAGATCTTCTGTTGTGAATAGCCTTGTACCATGTGATCTCTGTGATCATTCATAGATTTCACACGTAGTAAGCAATGATGTCACAAGTGACATCTTGCTTACTACTCTGCACGTGATCGCTGATTGGCTAATCAGTGATCACATGATCAGAACCTCGCACAGAGGTCCCGTCCGACGATCGGCGTATCACTGTGTCCGGGGACACAGCAGGCACCGGATCGCGGTGCTGTGCGCTCCCAGGGCGCACGCACAAGCAGGGGGACGGGAAAGACGTTTATAAACGGCCACCTGACCCTGCACTGCCACCATCCGGCCGTTTATATACAACGGCCGGACGGGAGGTGGTTAAACAAGCTCTTTTGACCACTCTATAATAGGTGGTCATGGCAGTTTGGCTTTTACGGTGGTAGTGTGCCAATTGTCTCTGACACCAAAGATGGTGCTGGGATCTTTTGCTTGATTTTTTTTTTATAAAACTATAAATTTATGGACTTTATTTTGATTTTTTTTTTAGCACTGCATTTATGATATAGATTGTTTATGATCTTCAAATTCTTGCAGCTGCTTGTTCTAATTTTTTTTTATTAGTATGAGCGTGGATGGTACATTTTTATTTAGATTTATAGTATTAATAAACAATGAGCACTGCGCTGCAGCAACCAGTCTCATTCTTTAATGCGGTCAGTGTTTTACAGTGAACACTAAAATAATCGTTGTGGGTTAACTGCACATCACTATAGAACTGAAATTAATCTGGTCTGGTTTAAATATCAGAGCAAAGAAGGCGCTTCTAAGTGCAGTAGTTAAAAAGACTTTAAAATTCCAACGGTTAAAAACACTTACAACCTACCCTCCCCCCCTCCTCTCGCTTTCATTAATTTTTCTCCCTCTTTCTTTCCGTCACTCTACTGGGGTTAAATGTTTAATTATTGTTTTTTGTACACAGACAAAATGTAAGGAAGGAGTGGTGTTTTTGGAGATGTGGATGGCGTGGTTCATCTTCACCTGCTTTAGATGTGGTTTGTATTAATGACTCTCTACATGGGATCTGTTCAGTCTCTGTGTGTTGGGGATGGACTTTGCTATACCACGTCCTGTCTTGTTATTATTGATCTTTCTGTACGATTTGTTATGCCATTTCTTCAAAATAAAGAATTAAAAAAAAAAAAAAAAAAAAACACTTACAAGACATAAGAAGTAACAAGGCTCCTCAAATAAATTTGAAACAATGTCCAGCAAGAGGATCCCCTGTGGCAATCCTGTATGGTGCTTTACCACCAACCAGCGGTGTAGAGCAATGTGTCTGAAATGCAGGAAGGACCACCGTGCTGCGGGGGCCAGCGTGGAATGCAAGCACCCGGATGTGCCATCAAAGAGGATGGTGACGTGTTTCCGAGTATGTGCAGTATTTTTTATTTATTACAGGTAGTTATATAGCGCAGTTAATTTACGCAGCGCTTTACATATATACAGTAGCTCCTTCTTCATGACCATCATCAGATGCTCATGAAAAAGGAGCTACTGCACATGCTTCAAAAAGCATCACCGCCCTCTTTGACGTAACATCTGGGAGCTTGCGTTCCATGCTGGCTCCCACAGCCCAGGGGTCCTTCCTGCATTGCTCCACACCTCTGATAGGTGGTAAAGCGCCATACAGGAGTGCGATAGGATATCCTCCTGCTGGACGTTGTTTCCAGTGTTTTTAACCATTGAAATATTAAAGCCTTTTTAACTACTGCACTTAGAAGCGCCTTCTTTGCACTTTTATTTCTGCCAGAGCTTGCTTCTCTCATATGGAGTGCTGCTTGTATACTGATCCTCTGCCACACCCTGGACAATTTTTGGACTTCCACATTATCAGAGGGTGCATCTGCCTAGAACGCCCTATATATACACACCTATTTGTTTTACAGTCCATACCTGGTTTAAAAAGTGGCCTATAAATATAATTTCTGCTGGCTTACTGTCAACACCCTGTAGCTTTCTCACTGGAAAGCCTTTACTAAGTCACTTATGATCAGAACCATGCCAAAGCAGAAGATGTGATGGTAGGAGGTGCAGCAGGAGTGGGTGCCTCTCCTACTCGCTTCAAGACTGGGCTTTGAAACGGACAGTCCAATGTTGCCGATTAGGCTGGGAGTATTGGTTCACTTCAGCATCTTCATCTTGGGTGCCAGAGGACCTTGTCCCGACACAGGGTGACTGACCCAGAACAAGGATTTAGTGAAGAATAAGGACAGCTCAGTAGCACGGCTGCAAAAACAAGTCTGCAACTGCCAGTCTCACATTTCTACCTCCAAAAATTCTTTACAGAAAGAAACTTTATATTTAAATACGACTTCCAGTTTTACAGTAACCCTTAGTCTGCATTTGGCCTCTTCCCCTAATACAGACACAAATGGAGATCCTCATTTAGCTGCTCAAGAGGATTGCAGTCTGTTCCGGTCTGCCAACACACTCACTGTATGGAACAGGCTAGAGGTTCAGCAGTACCAGATTCCAGCAGCAAGCCAACATTACAAGCTGTGGTTCCATGGTTCAGTAACACTCGGGTACAAAAAAAGTGGACATTTGTTATATGGAAGTAGAGATTGATACATACCAGACTGGTGGATGTACGCTGGGAAGAGGGCGAGTGACAGCTGGGCTGCCTCCTGCATGGACTGGTAACAGATCTGCCGGGACTTGGTGCCCTCACTGGAGATATTCTCCACAATATCCCTCAGCACACCCAATGTCTGACAGATGACACGCTTAGCTAGGAGGAGAAAAAGACATACACGTGTAAGACCAGGGAACAAAACACTTGTATAAACAGTCTAGCCAGATATTTATTATAGACTTGGGATGATTACACAAATCAGTCAAATGTTTATTGCTGTCTGACGCCCACTGGAGAGAATCTCTCACTTTGTCCCTGTGACACCAAGACAAGAAACAAGTGGAGCAGTTATCACTGGGTCAGGAAAACGCAGACAGTAATAATGACCTGAGAGAGGTGCTTACCCTCATTTTATTGAATAAAGGAAGAAGAAAGGGAACATTTACATTAGGAAGGCCACGAATCCTTCACATATTTATGCACCTCTGTGAATGACCCCTTTGAAAAAAATACAGCTGTGTTCAGATTTGTAACTAGAAAACAGTTGTAAATTTGTTTCTTTTTTATTTTTTCTCCTGTGTGAATGAGGCCTATGATGTTGTGTTCCTCCAAGAACTCTTCAATAAAGCGCAGTGGCTAGTACTTCTGTCTAGCAGCACTAGAGTCGGTTCAACTCCCAACCACAACACTACCTGCGTGGGTTTCCTCCCACCCTCCAAAAGGCATGCTGGTAGGTTAATCAGCTCCTGTCTAACTTGGCCCTAGTATGTATGATTGGGAGTTAGGGACCTTGAGGGCAGAGACTGATATGAATGTACAATAGATATGTACAGTGCTGAGAAAATTGACAGCCTTAGTACCTGTAATAAATAAATATTAAATACATTTGTAGACAGACTACATACCAATAAGGAAAATTTAAAACTTCATCTGAGCAACAGATTTTTATAGCCAAATACAGGCACAAAGAAGCAAAATGGTAATCAATGTTATTTATAAATATTAAGTTATTTTACATTACTTTCTTCTACATATCAATGTTTTCTGAATAGGGGAATCAGCCTTAAAGTGGAAATGCTATTTAATTCATTGTTATTATGCAAAGCAAACTCCCTCATCCAGCCATGTCTCCATGCTTTATTTTGCTGACAAACAAACAACTTTGAAAAACACCCCCTAGCATTTCTGACAGTTGTCATCCTAGGGCCCTGGCATTTCTGACAGTTGTCATCTTGAGTAAGGGCCCTGGCATTTCTGACAGTTGTCATCTTGAGTAAGGGCCCTGGCATTTCTGACAGTTTGTCATCTTGAGTAAGGGCCCTGGCATTTCTGACAGTTTGTCATCTTGAGTAAGGGCCCTGGCATTTCTGACAGTTGTCATCTTGAGTAAGGGCCCTGGCATTTCTGACACTTGCCATCTTGAGTAAGGGCCCTGGTATTTCTGACAGTTGTCATCTTGAGTAAGGGCCCTGGCATTTCTGACACTTGCCATCTTGAGTAAGGGCCCTGGTATTTCTGACAGTTGTCATCTTGAGTAAGGGCCTGGCATTTCTGACAGTTGCCATCTTGAGTAAGGGCCCTGGCATTTCTGACACTTGCCATCTTGAGTAAGGGCCCTGGCATTTCTGACACTTGCCATCTTGAGTAAGGGCCCTGGCATTTCTGACACTTGCCATCTTGAGTAAGGGCCCTGGCATTTCTGACACTTGCCATCTTGAGTAAGGGCCCTGGCATTTCTGACAGTTGTCATCTTGATTCATGGAACATTTACTTCCTGGAATCTTTCTGCCCTTCGCTCAGGCACTGGCTGAGTTGAGAACCCTCTCTTCCCTCCTAAAGACTCCTGAAATGTATGATATCATTTGCCTAGGCATGGAAACCAGGTAGTAACTAAAAAAAAAAAAAAATGTAAAAAAAAAAAAAAAAAAAAAAAAGTTTAAAAAAAACCGGAAGTAAAGATGATATGCTTTCCTATTTACGAATGCTAGCAGCGTAAGGATTAAAAATGGTCCATGTCGCCTCAGAGTGAAGTTCAACTTTAATGAGAAATGAGTAGTAGTGTGTGAGCACACATGACAATAATATTACATTACTGGAACACAACATACAGGCACAGAGACAGGTAGGAGAAAGTTCTTCTGGGCAATGCCAGTACGCAGATGATCTAACCAAAGCCTGTCTATAGGGTATCAATACTAAGAAAAATACAAAGGCTGTCCAGAGAAGTAAGCAGCTAAAGTAGTCAAAACCCTTGATAAGCATACTTGTTTTTGATTGGTGAATTAAAGTGCTGATGCTTTTGAATCAATAGCCAGGCAATGAGTATTATTAAAAAAAAAACAAAAAAAAAAAAAACAAAAAAAACACACAGCATAGCAGTGGGATCCTACCTATTTTCATAGTACAGGTTTACTTGAAAGCATCACAGTGGCTTTGCTGAATCCGAACACTTACCCATGAACAGCATTTATTAGGCCTGCTGTGTGTCATGTATAAAGGACTAGCATTTCTGGTCAACAAGTCAAGCTTTAAAAGAAGAAAATTCACTGAAATGCAACGTAGGGGATGCCAGGCTTTGATGCTTTAGAAATAAACTCCCTCTAATGCAGGCCATAGATGGTTCGTTTATGGGTCGATTTTCACACTGTTAGTGGGGCAATGAAATCGGCCGATTTTCGTGGTTCCTCCTCATTTCGTTTATCAGTCATGCTAGAAAATTCTTGAAAAACGGACAATTTTCACAATCATTGGTGGCAACATCGGTTTACAGAACGAACAATGTTTTGTTTTTCAGACGAAAAATCGACCGATAAACGAACAGTCTATGGTCTGCATAAATGGGTAAAGTATGTCTACCATTGTTAGATGGAAGGTAATTTAATTAGACTTCCTGTACATACAAAGCAATCATATTTACCGATTCTCTAGTACTATATTGGACAACTATGCTTATAGCAACAAAGGCAGTTCTTTCTTAAAGCGAAGTTCCGCTCCAAAGTTTGAAGTTTTGCTTGTTTGCCCCCCCCCCCCCACTGTCACATTTTGCACCTTTTGGGGGGGGGGAACGGATACCCAATTTTCACAGGTACCTGCTCCCACTTCCGGCTCAATTCACGTGGACAAGTGAGCCAGAAGTTCGGCCCCCCTCCTTCCTCCCACAGTCTCCTGGGAACCTTCACAGGTGCCGGACCAGTCAGAATGTGCAGCGTGATTCGTCCATGCGAGAGTAGTCACCCAGCTGTGAAGCTGCAAGTTGTCACAGCCTGGTGCCCACAGTTGTGATGCCGGCTCTGGGGAGAGAAGGGATGGCGCAGGTGAGCACACCGCTGGACCCCGAGACAGGTGAGTGTGTTGATTAAAAAATCAGCAGCTAGTTTTTGAAGCTGCTGGCTTTTAATAAAATACAAAAACTGACTAGAACTCTGGTTTGAGTTGTGCTACTCACTGGTTTCCAGCTGGCCCTTCCTCTGAGGGGGGGCAGAACCCTTCAGCTCGCGGTAGTCCCTGGTCAGAGCGCTCAGTAGGGTGGCATGGTGATTCGAGCGCTCTCCCCACTGTTGTTCAGGCTCGGGGACGTTTGGCCAAGGGAGGAGGAGGACATTAGACAGCGCACGACAGAGCAGCACCTGGGCCTGTGCATGAGAAAAAGGTACAAAAAAAAAAAAAAAAAAAAAAAAAAAAGAACAGTTATTCACTCTGGGTCACTTACATCCAAACTGATCCCAAAATTTTTTTTCCCCAGTATTAAACAAGACTGTGAAATTTTGGCAGGTTGTTATTGCTGTTCCCCACCCCATTGGGGAGCCTTTTCCTCATTCACTACCCTGTGACTCCTGGACAAGTAATGAAAGGCAAGGATGACCTTGGGACAGCAAGGCAAAGACAGATGCTTCAAATGTTCTAGCTTTTTCACACTACTGAAGAAAGAAAAGCCTTCTGCTGTCTGTAGGTGCCATTAATTCCTGTTCCAAAAATACCTTGCCACTGACATAGGATGTGTACAAAAATTTCAATGGATATAAACAGCAACAACAGCTCCAAGGATCAGGGCCCTCCTATCCCTCTTGTATTGAACTGTATTGTTGCTGTATTGTCTCCCGTTATATTGTAAAGCGCTGAGCAAACTGTTGGCGCTATATAAATCCTGTATTATAATAATAATATATAAATCCTGTATAATAATAATCTATAAATCCTGTATAATAATAAATCCTGTATAATATATAAATCCTGTATAATAATAATAATAATAATAATAATAATAATAATAATAATAATAAATCCTGTATAATATATAAATCCTGTATAATATATAAATCCTGTATAATATATAATAATTTAAAATCCTGTATAATAATAATAATATAAATCCTGTATAATAATAATAAATCCTGTATAATAATAATAATATAAATCCTGTATAATAATAATAATATATAAATCCTGTATAATAATAATAAATCCTGTATAATAATAACAACAATAACAACAACAACAACGACACGCCGCCCTTCTTATATATATAAAAAAAAAAAAAAAAAAAAAAAAAAAACACACAGATCAATGTAATAAGTTAAGCTGGAAAACCAATTCGCACTGGAGGTCCTAAATTAAAGGCCCTTGGGGTCCCCGCATTGATTGTCCCCATACAAGAAAAAGAAATGACAGTTACAAAGCCAGTGCTGCAATACAAGCTGGAATTCTACACAGAGAGGACAGCGCACCTCCTCCGGCAGTCTCTGGGCAGCATTATCTGTCACACGGCTGAACACTTTTTGGACGGCGGGAATGTTGATGAGGAACACAGGCCGCACGGTGGTGGCCACGGAGACCAGAAGATGACATGCGGACAGCAGCAACTTCTCTTGTACCTGAGAGAAGAGACAGGTCAGTCAAGTATTACCTGAACATAAATTTAAGGAAAGGAATATAATGGGGCGCATCCACAATACAAAATCAGCTGCCACCCCTCCTGTCTAGCAAGAAGCACCATTTTCAGTATGGATATTCTGTGCTGCTGAATGACAGCTGCACCTGAATGAGTGTACCTATCCATGCCCCACCCTCCTAGCTCTGGTATGCCAACAGCGTATAGTCACTCCAGGCTGGAGTACACATTAAAGCGGAGCTCCACCCAAAAAGGGGAAGTTCTGCTTTAAGCCTTTGTCCCCCGCTCCCCATTAAGGATTGGCACCTTTTGGGGAGTGGGTACCTGAATTTGACAGCTACCCGCTCCCACTTCCGTTGCGATCACCTAGGCGGATCAGAAGCGGAAGTCGTCCTTAATCCCCCTCCCCGTAGTCTTCTAGGACACATGACAGGTCCCAGAAGACTACGGGGCCATTCACAAAGCACAGCGCTTCTCGCCCATTGCGCAGTGGGCACCCGGATGTGAAGCAGCAAGCTGTCACAGCCGGGTGCCCACACTGAAGATGCCGGCGCCAGGGAGAGAAGACAGCCAGTGAAACCAGCAGTGGAGAAGACAGTGCTGGACCGAGGGACAGGTAAGTGGCTGTATTTTAAAAGTCAGCAGCTACAGTTTTTGTAGCTGCTGACATTTTTTTTTTTTTTTTTTTATTTCAGGTGGAACTACACTTTAAAAAGATCACACTTCTATAATATAATAAAACCATTATTGAGGAGTCATGTACAATTTACCTTTCACAGTTTTGAACCCTGTACTGAAAGACTGCCTTTGCTGACCTCTGTAATGAAAAGGCTAACTGCCTGGCAATCAGGCTGATCTTTGGACTTTGAATCACCGATCATAAACCATTTGCATACACGGCGTTTTTACTTCATTTCCTGCATATTTTTTCCAAGCCAGTGACTTAATGTATCAAAGTATTAATGGAGAAAACCAGGTAACTAGCATTTTCAGAATTTAGTCAGCAAAGGCAGCCTATAATGAAAGCGTTCTTTTCACAAGGTTATGAAAATTTCCTGCATAAACGTCTTTCTTCCTGAAACTGCTGGAAGGTACACTTGTGCATGGCCACCAGTTACAATCATGGTATTGTGATTTCAGTGGCCATTTGGATATGTACATACAGGGGCTCCCTAGGACTGCATATCACCAGTGACAAGCAGTAACATTTGCAAAAGTAGGAAAGACAAAGTGAAAAATCCTCAAAAAGGGGAAGGAAAGGTAATAACATACATATCCCTCTTACATTGTAAGCTCTAATGAGCAGGGCCCTTTGATCCCTCCTGTATTAATCTGTACTGCAATTGTACTGTCTGCCCTTATGTTGTAAAGCGCTGCGTAAAATGTTGGCGCTATATAAATTCTGTATAATAATATAAATTCTGTATAATAATAATAATATATAAATTCTGTATAATAATATTATGCGCCTTCAATTAAAGAACTTCAGCATTCTGAAAGGGGTGACCCCGGTGTGCATGTCCGTTCACCTTTGTGCTGATTAGAGGGGGCAGGGCTTCCATTGCTGTGGAGATGATAGAGATAAATTGTTCCGGGTTTTGACGCTGGACCTCGCCGTAGAAACGAGCAAGCCAGTGCGAATAAGCTTGTAACGCAGCTAATGACTGGGCGTGTCTGCAGAAAAAGAAATAAAAATAATCATTTACCACAAGTAATCTGTGGATTGGAGACTACATAATCCACAGACTTCATTGGAAACACCAAGGAGTACATTAGATGTACAACTATTTAACAGAAACCTGTTATAGACAGAAGAAAAAAAAAAAAAAAAAAAAAAAAAAAAAAAAAAAAAGGGAAGCTGTCATGGCCAGTTCATTTTTAGATGCAGGACTGGGCATATCATCCTCATATCAGTTCTTTTAGAGTTGCCAATCTCGAGCAAGCAACTCCAGTTTCCAATCACTCCTTATCCTCCTGACCAGACAGACACGAGTGTCGTCCTCTATGTGTACACAGACAACACAGACTTATTAGAGCAAGGGCATCAAACTGGCGGCCCTCCAGCTGCTGCAAAACTACAAGTCCCATCATGCCTCTGCTTTTGGGAGTCATGCTTGTATCTGTCAGCTTTGCAATGCCTCATGGGACTTCTAGTTTGGCAACAGCTGGAGGGCTGCCAGTTTGACACCCTGGAATTAAGAGCTTCTAATCCAGGGATGTGCAATTCCTATAGCCCGACACCTGGGACATGCAGTTGTGGGCACTGGGCAAGAGGTTGTTTCTTTAAATTTAGCCCTGCAGGCAAGCAGCGGGATTTAGAGCAGACGGTTGGCTCTCTTGCAAAAGCAATTTGAGTGGCTAACTAGCAACTGGATCGCTTTTACAAACAGTGGGAAGGGACATTCCCTCCCCCCCCATTCCGCGGGATGTCCCATAGCACCAGGACACCTGATCTGCCATCTTGTGCTTCAGTCGGCTGATCATAAAAGGCAAAGACCGGAACTACTCTGTCCGCCTCTATGATATAAGAAACAGGAAGCGATGAGCATACGTCACTTCTGGTTTCCCCGGATGTAAATGGAGCCATTTTTAAAAATGGAAAGCATTTGATTATACCCATCTTAGTGTGATCAAATCCTTTTAAAAATGGCAGAGAAGGGATCTGGGGTCTTGTTGACCCCAAATCTCTCGATAAAAAAGCACCTGTCACAAGGAATGTTTGCATTCCTTGTGACAGCAATAAAAGTGATCAAAAAAGAAAAAAATTAAAAAGCGACATTGTTAAAATAATAAAGAATTAAAAAAAATTAATTTTAAGCACTCCCATCCCCGCGCGCAAAGGCAAACACAAGCACTGGTCCTGCACACACTTTAGATTTACAAAGGAGGTCTGGTGCTAGAATTACTGGCTATGATCAAACATTCTCGGTGATGCATCACGTGTGGGACGATTGCGGTCGGTGTGCAAGCAGCAATCGTCCCACACATGAAGCATCACCGAGAACGTTAGATCATGGCCAGTAATTCTAGCACCAGACCTCCTTTGTAAATCTAAAGTGGTGACCTGTAAAGGCTTTTGAAGTGTCGCCTATGGATAGTAAAATTTACATTGTTGCTGTTGCATGGGCGTGTGTGCAGTTTTAAAGCATGACATGTTTGGTATCTTTTTACCCAGTGTAACATCTTTTATAATGCACCAAAAATTGGGTTTAGGATTGTGGTTTATTTGCATTGAAATTGCTTTTGAAAAAACCGCTGCACAAATGCCGTGTGACAAACAATTGCAAAACCCTCCAATTTCTTCTCTAGGGCCTCCGCTTTAAAAAACAATGATATAATGTTTGGGGGTTCTAAGACATTTTCTAGCAGTTTAAGTCGCCATAAAACCCCTTTCCTTTTTAAAACTCCAGATTTTCCTAAAAGCACTTCTGCCTTATAAAAAATATCAACCCTTCTTATTTTCCATCCTGGCAAAAAACTCCATCTCTCTCTCTCTAGCTAGCTCCCTCTCTAACTAGTTCCCTCCCTCTCTAACTAGTTCCCTCCCTCTCTCCAGCTCCTCTCCCCTCCCTCTCTCCAGCTCCCTCCCTCCAGCTCCCTCCCTCTCTCCAGCTCCCTCCCTCTCTCCAGCTCCAGCACTCTCTAGCTCCCTCCCCGATTTAGCTCCCTCCCTTGGAAAAGTGGAAAAGTAGTTTTTTTTTTTTAAAAATGTCCCCACTCCTGTAATCCTTGCCCTTTTATTATTTATTGATTTCTGTTGGAAGAGGTTCAGCATACCGAATTTCCTGGTGACCGCACAGTAAGGGAAGATCTCCAAAATAGAAGACAAATAAACTTAACAGATTTCCAACCCCTTCTATAGCTTAAAGCAGCCTTTCTCAACCAGTGTGCCCAGGCACCCTGGGGTGCTTTGAGGTTTCTTCAGGGGTGCCTTGGCAAAAATGTCTAAAAATTGCCTAAAACTTGTATACAAGCCAACAGGTGGATCAAGCCTGCCGTTTAGTTACAAAAAGCCACAGGTATTCATTGTGCACCATTATGACCTTCTAGCTGCCAGCGTCCTGACAACCAATGACACCATCAGTTGATAAGGAAGATGTCAGCTTCCTGCACAGCATCCTAGTATGACCCTCTCCTGCCCTTCTCCATCAGCACTCTTGTCACATTAGCGCAGTGATGGATGGATTAAAACTGAGGGAGAAGAGAAACATTGGAATACTAGTAAGTACCATTGTGCAAAAAGTGTATTTGCTTTGGAAGAATAAATCGCCTCTAATATTGGGTGTCCTACATGTGTGGATGTTGCCGAGTTATATAAAACTAATATAATAGCTTTTCACATTTTAGAATGGGGCACCCTTTTAAAATTATGGACAGTCTTGAGGCACCCCATTTTAGAAAGGGGTGCCTTAAGACTGTTCATAATATTAAAGGGTTGCTTGACTGAAAAAAGGTTGAGAAACACTGACTTAAAGCATATCTAAACCCAAGAACAAAAAAATATTTTAGACCATACCAGTCCTCAGATGTAGTGGTGGCATTATTTCTCTTTCAGGCACAGAAAAAATCCTGCATATCCTGATAAAAATCCAATATCCTTGTACTTTCCGGCACACTGAATTGAAACTTCAAAACAACGTTATCAGCTTTCCCAGCTCTATCGTCTGAACTACATCCCCCACCAGGCGAAGGGGTTTGTAGCCAAAACATGGAAAGCAGCCCAGGCTGAACAACTCTTCTCCTTCATAGGTACAGTACAGTGAGGTAGCGTAGAACAGAAGTGTGTTTTTTTGCAGGATCATCAGACAAAAATAAAAATCCTGGAGAAGGACAAATCATGCAGCCACTATGTCTACAGACATGGTTTAGAACAGTTTGGACTGGACTGGGCTTCAAGTCACCTGTGCGTGCTACAGAATCAATACTGGCTCTCAGTCGGCACCCACCCTTTTTTATTTTTGGATATAAAAAGGCCCCAACAAGACCATACACGAAAACAATGACAGAGCACAGTGGTACATACACATCTACAAGGTCTGGCTTTAGCACGGATGGCACTGCAGTCTCCATGTTGTACAGTTTAATCTGGGAACCATATAAAGTAACCTTGACCAACCTATAAGAAAAGAATTGGGGAGTTAAATATCAGCATCAACTTCCATTGTCTAAAAAGGTACAGAAGCCATGAAGGCTGCACATTACCTTTCCACAACAGTGAGAGCATCATTGAAGCGAGCCTCAAACACATCCCCGATAAAATACTCTGCAAGTCTCCCCACTGCCTGCAGGAGTGAGCTGAGGTCCCGCAATGAGCAGTGTAACCTCCGGCAGTCATTCTCTGCAGTCACATTAAGACGCTGATCTGTGAGGGGGGGAAAATACAACAGTTTGAGCACCCTAAAAAGGTCACTGTTCTTATAAACAAAGTCAGAGCATACATTTGTGAAAACATGCAAAACTGGGTATGACATATCATTAAAACACAAAAAAACAAAATAACTAAAAATGACAGCCAGAGACAGCTGCGCCCACCCCTTCTTCTGTCCAGCACTCCAGTGTGTGCTAAAGGAGCAGAGCAGTGACTGACAGTCACTGCTCTCGGCTCTGAGCTGGCCAAAAGCTGAGCTATCAACAGTCATGTGATTGCTAATTTCTTGGTCTTGCAGCCAACATGGGACAGCTGCAGCACCACACTGATGCTGCAGCATAGAGGAGAGTATGTTGTTTATTTTTTAACCCATACTTCTCCTTTAAACTTGTTAGTAAGAAATCAACAGCCTTCTTAACCGCCTCCTGCACACCATATAAAAGAAATGACAGGAGCCCGGTGGTCCTCTCATTCTGGAAGGACGTCATATGACGTCCTCCCACTAACTACATGTTCGCCCCCCTGGGAGCGCGCAGTGGTGTGCTGTGTCCCTGGGACACAGCGAATCACCAATCAGCGGAAAGAGCCGATGACTTCAGCTCGGTCATGTGATCAGCCGTGTCCAATCAAAGCTGATCGCATGTAAATAAGGAAATTACGGTTATTGGCATCTCTCTACTCACGAGCTGTCACGCTGACAGCTCGTGGGGAGAGGAGAGCCCATAATCGGCATTCCTCAGAGGGGTCATCTACACTGATCATCAGGGCACTGATAATCAGTGCCCTGATGATCAGTGTAGCCCCATCAGTGCCACCTGTCAGTGCCCATCAATGCCACCTGTCAGTGCCCATCAATGCCACATCAGTGCCTACCAGTACACATCAATGCCACATATCCGTGCCCATCTGAGCTGCCTTTCACTGCCAACTATCAGTGCCAGTCAGTGCTGCCAGTCAGTGCCACCTAACAGTGCCATGAGTACTGCCTTTCAGTGCCCATCAGTGATGTCTGTCAATGCCCGCCTGTGCCACCCATCAGTGTCTTCCATCAGTGCCCATCACTGCAGCCTCATTAGCGCACATCAGTGAAGGAGAAAAATTACTCATTTACAAAATTTTATAACAGAAACTAACAAAAAAAAACTTTTTTTCCCCCCAAATTTTCAGTTGTTTTTGGTTTGTTTAGCAAAAAAAAAACAAAAACCCAGAGGTGATTAAATACCACCAAAAGAAAGCTCTGTCTGTCTCCAAAAAATGATAAAAAATTTTGTTTGGGTACAGTGTTGCATGACCGCACAATTGTCAAAGTGAGACAGCGCTGAAAGCAGAAAATTGGCCTGGGCAGGAAGGGGGTGAAAATGCCTGGTAGGCAAGGGGTTAAAGAGCTGCATCTTACTCCCAGACTCCCAATACTGCTAATACTAAGGAGGCAAAGACATAAAACGAAGGGCCCCAAGACACATTCACATGAACACTGCTATCCAGCAGTACCGTCAGCTTTAGTAACTCTAGGCTCCCCAGCACAAATTAATCAAGAGACTTTTCACTCAGGTCACCCCCATGCTGCTGTAAAGCCATGCTCCTTTCCCGTGAAGCCATGCTGCTGTGAAGCCATGCTCCTTTCCCATGTCATATCCCTTTAAAAGCTGGACCTTGTCAACAACTGCAAAAGTTAAAATAAATAGAAGTAAAAACCATTTTCTGTGTCTTGTGGTTCACACACTTCAGCCACACTGCATTGTCGGTTTAGATTTAATAACTACAGCCCTGTCTCCTCCTTGCTCCAGCCTGTTGATAAGTCAACGAAGGAGCAGTAGCACACTAAAAAGTTCCATCTTCTAGTTTCTCTCTCCTCTGACAGAACTGTGCTACCAATAAACTGACTGACAACACTGCAGGTTCCCCTTCCCCCTGTCTTAAATGATAAGTTCACTTTTTGAACAAAAAAATAAAAAAAAAAAAAAAAACGCACATTTTTTTGCAGGTAAAAAAAAAAAAAAAGTGAATTTATCATTTCTGGCTGCAGAAGCCTGTAAAGCGTTGCACCAGCAATCAGCAGATCATGGGTGCCATGCAAGTCTCCTGCAGACCTGTCAGTATATCGGCTTGTGGACAGCAGCTGCAGCATTGGAAACATGTTACATGTTCCACCCTAGATACAGGTGAAACATATTACATGTTCCCAAAGGTGAACTTATCCTTTAACGGTGCTGTGTGTTTGGGATTACAGGATACTGTGGCAAATTCAAGTACTTATACTGGCTTCATTTAAAAACAAATGTAATTTTTTTTTTAAATGATTATTGCAGTTATGTCTCTATCATAAAATACTCATTCTTTTTATTAAATGTAATATTCATAGTTGACTTTTGTAGAATTACCAGCGAACTTTGGTTTTAAATATAATGTGGTATGTGTCATTAGAACTTACCTTGTCCAGTGGTCACTATACATTGCTGAAGACCAAGATAAACATCAAGGTTCTCCTGAAGAGCAGCAAACTACAGAAAAACACCAAAAAAAAAAAAAAAAAAAAAAAAAAGAGTAATATATTTAAATGCCAGCGTGATGGAAGGAGGAATACATACTATTTTAGCAAGTAAAAGAACAGATGTAGAGGTCTGAATCAAGCAAGGAGGACATGTATCTTTAAGTGATGTGTAACACCTCTAGGTGTTTAATTAACCATCACAGAGATCACTGTACCACACACAGGTAACAGAGCTGGGTGCCATTAGTGTTTAGATGGAAATCAAAGCACTAAGCAGAGAGGCTGGGTGCCCTACTGTCATGCTCATCTAATTGGTACCTTTACCAGAACAATAACATACAAAGCTTTAGAGCACAGATCACTGTATAAAAGTTTGTGAAGCCACATTTAACCACTTCCCGTCCGGCCCATGTACATAAAAACGGCAAGACAGGAGCACTGCAGGAGCGGGTTGCCGTTCATAAATGGCATCCGCATTTATAGGCTGTGCACGCTCCCTGGGAGCGCTCCACTGGACACAGCGGAACACCGATCGTTGTACGGGACACCTGTGTGAAGTCCCGATCATGTGATCACTGATTGGCCAATCAGTGATCACATGAATAGTAGTAAGCAAGATGTCTCTTCTGACATTGCTTACTACGTGTGAAATCTGTGAATAATCACATAGGTCACATGGTACAAGGCTAGTCACAACAGCCTTGTACCATGTGACAAGCTGTGACCAATCACAGCTCTCAGTATTTCTCAATGGCTGCAAGAATGCAGTCACAGAGAAGGAGAAATTATTGCTTTTACAGCCTTTATGGGTGTAAAAGCAATCCGTGTAAAAAAAATAAAAATAAATAAATCTTCATCACCCCCCACAAGTAGTACAGTGTCACTATGGTGACACTGTACTGCTAGGGTGACAAAAAAAAAAAAAAAACAAACAATTTTGAAAAATTATAATTTTTGGTTATAAACTAAATTTGGGTTATTTTTTTTTTTCACTAAAAAGATAACCAAATAAATTTTGGCCAAGATTTATGAAGATTATTTCTTTGCAAAATTTTATAAGAAAAACACTTTTTTCAAAATTTTTGGACTTTCATTTATATAGCAAAAAAATTAAAATCCCAGTGGTGAATAAATACCACCAAAATAAAGTTTTATCAGTCTCAAAAAATGCCACAAAATTCATATGGGTACAGCGTTGCATGACCGCGCAATTGTCATTCAAAGTGTGATAGCGCTGAAAGCTGGCCTGGACAGGAAGGGGGTAAAAGTGTCCGGACTTGAAGTGGTTAAAGGAACACAGTACCCCAATTTCATTATAAATTCCCTTACCAGTGTGGTGAAGGCATGTGTAGGGAGCAGCTCCATGATTTTGGCTACAACTTCCAGGCTGTGCCGCAGATACCTTTGCCACTCTGTTTGCTGCTGTAAACAGAAAGGGAATGTCAGTATAAAGGAGCTCTCATACAGACCTGTTTCCTACTTATCACCTAAAGTACAACTAAAGATAGATAGCGTGGAGAAAGATTAGAACAACTGTCCGTTTTTATTGCTGTCTGCGCCCTTTGTTAGGGAGATTCACTCTCCATTTGTCCTGTTTACCATTATCATTGAAAGTGAAGGTAGAAGAAAATCCCAAACTTTGGGTTGTCCCCAGAAAAGTAATAGGAGGCGAAATCTTCCAACGGGGACAATAGTTCTAGTGACCTGTCCTTAATTTGCTGGGATTTCCTCTCACTTCCCATTTTGGCTATGGGACAAGAAGTGAAGGGATGTCTCCCCAAAGGGACAAAGATGACAAAAAATAAAGTGACAGGGGTTAGAAACCCTCCAAAATAAAAAATAAAAATAGTTCTACTCTAAAATTCATCCGACAGGGGTCAAAGCACGGGCTGCAAGGGATGTCCCAATAAAAAAAAAAAATAGAAACCAGGAAAAAAAAAAACCCCAAAAAAAACAGCAAAAAACTCACATATGTTACAATCTACCCTTTAGATCTACCAGCAACTATGTAGTGCAAGGGCCTGCCTGACTGGATACAGTTTGTATAATGTAGGTAGGTCTTTATGGAGATATCATTGGTAAATCTAATGCCCACCACACACACCTAAAATGTACAGACCCCTTTAGCTTTACCAAAATGATGTATTATACCGACCCACCTAAACATTACATTCAATAAGGCGGGTCTTGGCACTATATAGTCCTTGGTAGATCTTTATGAATACAGTAAAGTTCAGATTAAAACTCAGCACATGCATTACGAACAGCTTGCATATTTGGACCTACTGTACAATTTTATCTCCTCTAGTTCCAACAACACCTATATAGTGCAAGGGCATGACTAAATAATTCTTTAAATTTCTATGCAATCAGGTAGTCTTCATACTACATATTTGTTGGTAAAACCTGAAGGACATTGTACATAAAAGGATCAGCCTGACTCTTCACTATCTGTCCAATCCCAGAACATTTTCTTACATCATCATCCAGGGTCTCATCATCTAGCTCCTCCAGCTGTGTTTGGTTGTAGCGGAACTGGATTCGGTTCAGGACCTCAGTGAGTAGCAGCACCAGAGCGTCTTCGTACCTGTAATCATAATAGAACTTAGCAAAGAACAAAGATTAAAACAGTAACTCACAAAAAAAAAAAAAAAAAAAAAAAAAAAAAAAAAAAAAGGAGGGTATAGTGAGCAATTCAGGGCTTGTTCGCACCAGGTGCAATGAACTGCATTGATCAGTTAAATGCAGGCTCATCACAAGGACACTGAAAGCACAATTGTTCTTTATCTTCCTTGAGCATTCTATACAAGTAAGTTGCACTAAAATGCAGTTTGTAATGCACAACAGCAGCATACAACAAACTGCACCACATTGCAAAATGCTGTTATGCACAGAATTGAAGTGTTTTTGTAAAATTTCAATAAAGTTGGGAAAAACACTGCAATGAGCTTTTACCAGAAATCACAGCGTGACAATTTAAAATGTACACCAGGATGCACCTACCCTTTCTGTGCCTTTGCCCCGAACCAAATAATTCCACATTCACACCCAACAAAAAGGCATACTTAACTCAATCTGACAGCTGAAACCTCTAGTGATTGATTACATTCTGGCCTTGCCTGTGCATTACAGTCTATAGAGTTCTATGACCATCTCTAGCCTTGGAACACAGCTCTAGAGAAGTCTATGGGGATGTACAGTGCAGGAACGGCCAGGAGAGCGAGTCTTGTAACAATGGATGTAAGCAATCATCAGAGGCCATGGCCATCAGCTGTAGGCATGTATGCCTCTCTGGGTGTAGTGGGGAGGGAGCCTTAAAAGGCGAGTCAGTTTAGGTCAGGGCAACAAAAAACAATGAAAACACTTGGTCTGAAAGTGCACTTTTTTTTTTTTTTTTTTTTTTTTTTTTTTTTTTTAAGTATACCTAAACCCAAGAACAAAAATTTAATATATTGCAGTATACCAGCCATTACATACGGCTGCATTAGTTTACTTGGAACATATTCTGCAAATGCAGAAAAATGCATGTCTATCCTGTATATGAAAACTCAGGTGTGCCTTTTTTTGGCTATGTGTTGATGTATACAGGACAGAACTTCCCACTCACCTGTTTATGATGGCCTCTCTGTCTTCTAACCGATTTCGGATTTTGTTGGTCAAATAGTCCAGAAAGAGAGCCCAGATATCGAGACACGAGAGGTAACCTTCATGGGTGGGCTGTAGAGACAAAGCAGAACCAATAGATTGCAGCTTATGTTCTGACCACCTCTGGCTTAAAAAAAAGGGATATATAACTCTTCACAAAGCAAAGAGCATGTGGGGCCTTTTCAGGTGGGAGGACCAAATGTGACATTTTGGTAATCTTTTACAGCCCAAAATGACTTGCTTCAAAAAGGAAGCAGGTAAACACTCCCAAAAAAGATGGAGACATATTCAGAAATAAAAGCACTTTAAAAATAAAAAATTCCAGCTTAACCCTACTTAGAGAGAAAGCAGAACAGTAATTTCCTGCCTCTGACAAAAAATAAACAACTTCACACAGAGCCATCAGATATGGCTGGGTGGGACAATTCTCCCAACTCCTTCACTCATGTGTATGTAAATGCCTGCTTGAAGATTGCCCTCCTGTGTATTCTCCCTGAGCATATAGTACCACCATCAGCGTAATTACTACTGGTGTGATTGTTTATCGCACGGACACTCATTGCTCAGCGCTGGCAATCTCCTGGTCCTCCCACCTTTTTACAATAGTGTAACACAGTTAATGCCATTTTAGGGAAAAAAAAAAAAAAAAAGGGAAAAAACTAACATATCAACATAGGGGTTGTCATACAAAATCAAGTCACCCTAGCTATTATTGCCCTTGTTGGCCTGCTGTTCTGCCTCTTCTCTAGACTTGTTTACCTGAATAATCTTTTATCTGTTAGGTTTTTATACTTGCTTTGACTTTACAACACATTACAGAGCCTACCACTTCAACATGCTTTTTAAAAGGTGTTTTTGATGCTTCGGTGATGCTTTTTAAAGTTTTAAAGAAGCTTGCAAATTCCCTGTTTGTTGATTTTCTATTTATTTTAAAGGGCCTAGTAGAACCTTGGCTCAGTAGTACCCCCACTCAGCAAACCCCCAGCTTCTGAGTACCCTTGTTCATTAGATCCCCCACTCTGTAGTAACCCCCAGCTCTGCTGATCCCCCACTCCGTAGTAACCCTTAGCTCTGCTAATCCCCCACTCCGTAGTAACCCCCAGCTCTGCTAATCCCCCACTCCGTAGTAACCCCCAGCTCTGCTAATCCCCCACTCCGTAGTAACCCCCAGCTCTGCTAATCCCCCACTCCGTAGTAACCCCCAGCTCTGCTAATCCCCCACTCCGTAGTAACCCCCAACTCTGCTAATCCCCCGCTCCGTAGTAACCCCCAGCTCTGCTAATCCCCCGCTCCGTAGTAACCCCCAGCTCTGCTAATCCCCCGCTCCGTAGTAACCCCCAGCTCTGCTAATCCCCCGCTCCGTAGTAACCCCCAGCTCTGCTAATCCCCCGCTCCGTAGTAACCCCCAGCTCTGCTAATCCCCCGCTCCGTAGTAACCCCCAGCTCTGCTAATCCCCCACTCCGTAGTAACCCCCAGCTCTGCTAATCCCCCACTCCGTAGTAACCCCCAGCTCTGCTAATCCCCCACTCCGTAGTAACCCCCAGCTCTGCTAATCCCCCACTCCGTAGTAACCCCCAGTCTGCTAATCCCCCCCACTCTGTAGTAACCCCCAGCTCTGCTAATCCCCCACTCCGTAGTAACCCCCAGCTCTGCTAATCCCCCACTCCGTAGTAACCCCCAGCTCTACTAATCCCCCACTCCGTAGTAACCCCCAGCTCTGCTAATCCTCTAGTTTGCGGATCCTTCTTTTGCTCTGGTCCCCGCTCACCTCCCTCTATATTACTCCCACGCTACTCACCAGGTGTGATATCTGCTAGTTTCTCCCGCCCTGTCACCCAGCTCTGCAAATCGTCTGCCACTCAGTCCTTTCTCTCTGCACCTCACTCATCTTACCATTTAATTTAGGGACATGTGCTTTGATTGGCATTCAGAGTGCTTTAAAAAGCATATCAAATGCTACATTTTGAAGCAAGTGTAAACAAGACCTTAAACTAACTGCTGATCAGAACTGCTTAGGTCCATAGTCAAGCCTATATTTATGTACTCTTTGGCTTACATGTTAGGCTATGTACATCATAACTTGTGATATCTTTGAAAATTTCTGATCTGTAGGAGGAACAGAATTTGTTTAGATGCTAGTTTGTATGCCTTTTCCAAGGGTCTACTCTTTCTACTCTGTAAACCAAATGAAAAATGTAATATATAGTTAGTCTGGCTGAAAAAAAGACAAAAGTCCATCCAGTTCAACCATTAAAAAAAAAAAAAAAAAAAAGTTATAATCCTACACCCACCGTTGATCCAGAGAAAGGCAAAAAAAAAACCCACCAAAGCATGATCCAATTTGCTCCTGCAGGGTAAAAAAATTCCTTCCTGATCCACTGAGAGGCAAAATCTGATATTCCCTGGATCAACTTTCCCTATAAATGTTAGTATCCAGTTATATTCTGTGTATCTAAGAAAGAATCCAGGACTTTTTTTAAAGCAATCCACTGAGCTGGTCAGAACTCTTGAGGGAGTCTATTCCACATTTTCACAGCTCTCACTGTGAAGAAACCTTTCCGTGTTTGGAGATTAAATTTCTTTTTCTCCAGATGTAAAGAGTGCCCCCTTGTCCTCTGATGACCTCAAGGTGAATAACTCTACACCAAGTTCACTACATGAACCACTGATGTATATAGAATACATATCTATATAAAAAAAAAAAAAAAAAAAAAAAAAAAAAAAAAAAAAAAGGGCTGCTTAAGCTATTGAGATCTGTAAACAGAGGAATGAAAGCAAGCATGGAAAAAAAAGTGTGAAGTGTGAAAACATTTCTCACCTAGGTGGATGCAGCATCGAACCAATGTTCTGCATCTATACCCCGCTGCCTCTATACCAAGAACTGAGCGATCAAAGACCACAGATCACTCAGTTCTTGGTCTTTAGAGAACAAGTGACTGCCAATTACTTGCTCTCTGTTCTGTCCCTTCAGCACTCACTGGAGTGCCCGGCTGTGGAGGGGGATTTAGCCTACTGTCGGCTGAATACGAGCCGGAGAAGTGCAGAACAAAGTGCACTCTTGTGATCCCCAGAAATAGGGCCAAAAGAGCGCTGGCCCTACTTTTACTGTATATTAAAATACAAATTATTTATGTGCATTATATCATATTTCTCTGACTAGGATACAGAAAAAAAAAAAAAAAAAACACAAAATAAAAAAAAAAAGTGTACATTCCCTTTAACAAATGAAGGCTGAAGAAAGGGTAAGATGAGAATACCTGGTGAAAGGTGTATTTGAACAGTAGTGCCAGGAACTCCACCACCGGAAACTGAGAATTCGATTCTATCCTTCGCAGGTGGACACTGACAAAAAGCCGTAAGAAATCTGTAAACTTTTCAACGTAACTGTAAATCAGATACAGGAGACATTGGTCAGAACCCAAAGTTGTAGATATTATACATTGAACAACAAATCGTCAACTAGACTAGGAGGTCTTTCTTTTAAAAATTAGCAAATAGCTGCACACTCACATCTGCTTGGAATTGTAATTTTTTGAAATATTCATTCTACTTTTGGTAGGGTAAGACAGAAGTCCTAATGCAGGCCCATACATGGTTCAAATTCCGAATCATTTTTCATCCGAAAATCGGAAACGTTTGCTCGGTAATCCGATGGTGCCATCATTGATTTAGAAAATCGGCCGACCAAGTCAAAGTTCACCCCATATAACAGGCAAAACTTCTGTTCCTTTCAGGTCACGGCTCATGCGCATATTCTTTTTGGAAAAACGATCGTACGATTTGAAAATCAGTCGTTTTTCACAAATTTTCCAACATGCCCGATCACCAAAAAGGGGAGGAACCACGAAAATTGGCCGGTGCCATTGACCCACTAACAGAGTGAAAAATCGGCTGATTATTCTTAGGTCCGATTTTTGGATGAAAAATCAGCCATTTTTCAACCCACGTATGGCTGGCCTTAAGCTAGGAGATGGGCTTTATATGTCTCATTCACACAGGAGTACACTACACCATATGCCCGTGTAGAGCTGCGTTTACCTGCTGTGCCCCAATACGACATCTGTGTGGGTGTGTGTCCACAAAATCACCCTGTCTGTGTTCGGGGACACACACCCACATTTACACGGATGACATATTGTCCACGCAGTCACCATCACAAATGACATCAATGGGATGCATGATCACCTGTGAATCCTCATGCAGGTAAAGACAGCCTCGCATGGAAGTATGGAACAGAACGCTCTGTGTAAACAAGGTCGAAGGGGAACCTAGGGGTTCTGTTCAGTTTTTTTTTTTTTTTTTTTTTTTAATCAAGCAAACTTTTTATTGAGAGCAACAGACATGCAGTCACATCACAAATTCAATAAAAACAAACACAGGTCGATTCGACAAGCGAATATTACAGTATACAGATAGTAAAGCCTTTGCCGTAGGCAAGGAAAGGAAGACCAGCATAATAACAGCCAACATAATAGTTTTACAGAAAATCATTCCTCCTCCACGTCACAAGTAAACGTAGAGTCAAGCCATTTCTCCCAAACTTTATGATATTTAGCAGGACATCCTCTATGTATATAGATGACCTTCTTATATGGTGAAGTACTATTTCCCGCAGCTACCCACTGCAAAAACGTAGGCGACCACGCCTGCAACCACATACGAGCAAGCAATAATTTAGCCACTAAAAGAGTCTCTTGCAGAAAAAGTCTGAAATTTGTTGGTTTCTGAACTAGGAAGAAGACTGAGTAGGCACTGCTTAGGGCAAAAGGGTAAGGGGAGAGCCCATTTTGTCATGAAGGAACCGGACCTCTTGAGACCAATAACCCCGAATGAGGGGACAGGACCATAGTAAATGAAAGAAAGTACTGTCAGGGTCCCCACTGTGACGGGTGTGGCGTCAGACCCCAGCCCTTCTCACCAACTTGTGACCGAAGGACCAGCCGATCTCAGACCGCGCTGTCACTTGCGTAACAATGCCACTCTCAGCTGCGCCCTGCACAAAGATTTTCTAGCTCGCGGGACCACAATCTATGTGCCAGCCGCCTGAGAACGATTGTTACTGGGTCAGGTTAATTAGGCAATTAACCCTTCACACTGCCACCACCACCTTTTTACAGAGAAGGCGGAAACTCACAAATCTTAGCAGTAACACTATGATGTTTGAATAAGCGTCTGTATACAGACTGGCACCACAGACAGATGTATGCAGAGGGTTTAAAACACACCGTAGCACTCTTCAGAGACAGGGATTCTTAGTTTGCATTAAAGAGCTTTAGAAACAGTTCAACACTTTTCAGAAAATAGGATTTATTACTAAAAAAGGTCAAAATGGTGCAATACAAATATTTACAGAAAAGATGTAGCCTATATATATATATATATATATATATATATATATATATATAAATATATATATATATATATAGAGCAATAACACAACAGAGATAAAAGAAAGAAGTTTAAGAAGGTAGGATACTTGTAGAAGTCATTGGCTTAAGCAGAGCTCAAGTGTTCTGAACAAAAGGGTACATTTTCTCCCAAAGATGGTTCCTTATGTTAAAAGGGGGAATCTCTTCATCTTCATCTCCAGGCCGGACAGCCTGTTTTCTAGTTCCCCAGCAGGGGGTGTCTACTGAAGCCAAGGGTCAATTGCCTCATTTGGGGAGGGGTGTTAGGCGGAGACCCAGGCTGTGACTCAAATCCCTCACGAGTTTATACCATGGTCAATATAACCTTCCATCGGTACATGTAGCATCCTATCCACTGGTAGAATTATATGACATATCTTACCGTTCCAGATAAACACATATTGCTTTCTACTCTCGTGTAGGTGCCACATAGGAGTGTAAGGTGTCAGGCGACTCGTATTAAAATGACCTATCTGAATATATGCTTTGTTTTAATGGGCCTTGTTCCTGTCGGGATTTATGAATTTGTATGAAAAAGTGATTTAAGTGGGATGTACGTTTTACAAACACTCTGAGATAAGGTTTCATGTCAAGTGAAAGACTGAGTTATAGTTTTACGACCCGGCCAGGTGAAAGGGTGTATCAGACATGGTGGAACCAGGCTAATTGGGGTTACAACCATGAAGTTATCCAGCTGTGCCTTATGCACTTGTGACACACACACACACACACACACACACACACACACACACACACACAAGGGGAGGGGGACTGGAGGGAGAGAGAATGGTATTTGCAGGGTCTGATACAAAATATGGTTGTCATCTGTGTGCACAATTATCACACCCACATTTAGGGCAAAGTGGGCTATATTGTGGCCTGTATTTAGACAATCGAATTGGTGTTAAATAAGTTCTATGTAGAATATATAGCTGAGTGAGGCGGTCTGAAAACTTTGGGGAGACCACCTTAGTCAAGGACAACACCTCCTCCCACATTTCATCATCCAGCTCCCCCACTTCCACCCCTCAGTGGGTTTTAAGGTGGTATGCCAATAATGATGTAGAAGGTAAAAGTAGAGCATTATAGAATGTGGACGTAAGTTTCTTAGATTCCTTGCCCAAAATCACATCCAGAAGACAATTAAGAGTTGGATTGTAAAACAGAGTCACCAAACTGGGCACACAGAGCATTGCGGAGCTGGAGCCAAAAAAACATAAAATTGGGGAGTTCATATTCCCTTTTTTGAGGTCCTGAAATGATCTGACACCCGCACTGGTGAACACCTGGAAGACATAAAATCCCCCTACTGATCCATAATCTAAAATCAGGGAGTGTGCGCAATTCAGGGAGGTTCAGGTTATACTACAAGGGGGTGTGGATGTGTGGAAGCTGCAACCTACTAGAGGCCGGCGACCAAATCTTACAATGGTGATACAACAATCCCCTCCAGCCCCCCAAAGCCACAAGGTCTCGCACACCCCGCAATAAATATTGAAAGGAAAAAATTTTTTAAAACTAAACCGAACCAGGGGATAGGGATAGATACCTTGCATTGGTGTGTGCCTCGGTTTTTTTTGTACCCAAGAAAAAAACCGGGGCACACACCAATGCAAGGTATCTATCCCTATCCCCCGGTTCGGTTCAGTTTTAAAATGTATTTTTTCCTTTCAATATTTACAGGATTATATACTCAAATTTTTAAAGTGAACCAGTGCTTTGGTCATGCATAGCAAGGCAACATGTTCATTTTACTGCCATCCCCTCAGCTGCTTATATTTCCCATTGTCAAAGTTGCAGGGAAAAAAAAGGAAAGGTAAAAAGTGTACCGTGAAATCAGAGTGAGTAATTTCAATGCAAGAGAAGGGCTTGTTCTGTAACCACTAAGCTGGAAAAACCGAAGAACACTTTTCTTCTCTAACAACACATCTCAAATAAAAATGGATGGGAAAAAATAAATAAATCTGTAATTGGATGCTTCCATGGCACTTCATAGTCATAGCATGCTGTGCAGTCTGCCTGGACTAATCAATATACCAGTCTGTACTAGGAGAGAAGGAGAGGGGGGTGTCTGCTATGTAGTTCTATTTCCCAGCAGAAAAATAGACCTTCACAGCTCACTTATTATAGCACAGAGCTCCACCTGCTGTTTGCCAGTGGTAATTATAAACTCCCCCCCCCCCCCCCCCCCCCCCCCCCCCCCCCCCCCCAAAAAAAAAAGAAAAAAACAAAATGCAAGCACCGAACACGAATTAAAAAAAAAAAAAAAATGTAGATTCCCATTCTAGAAGTATTACAGAGTAATATCCCCCTATCATGGGGTCCTCTGTTTACCTGACCATGGACATGCCTCCATGCCCAAACCGTCCCCCCTCCATTCCTTTATCCTTCACTACTAGTGAAGGATTTCCCCAGGATCCCCCCCCCCCCCTTTTGGTTCTGTCAGTTTGTATTTAGATGATTGAGGATTATATGGTCCTCATTCTTAGAACTTTCTGTACACATGGGTACTTCATTGTATGCCTACATCATAGAATGGGATTTAGCCTGTTTAGGTCTCAAAATCTACCTACACACAAACACACATATAGGTCTCAAAATACACACACACAGTCTCAGTTTTCTGGGACCTTTCACATGTCCCAGAAGACTACGAAGGGAGGGAGTCACTTCCGATAGCCTAGGTGATTTCAGCCAAAGTGGGAGCGGATATACGCTCTCCAAAAAGGTGCCAATTTCTCATGGGGAATAAAGCTGAACTTTAGGGTGAAGCTCCGCTTTAAGTCCACTGGGGGTGCATGCAACCTTGTGGACTTATAACTTTAATTTACATTTTGTATTTTTACTAAGCCCCGGAAAATAGCAATCGCTTTAGTTCTGAGGTTCCAATGCTGGACCTTCTAGTCTCAGCTATTGCTGCTGCAGAGTCGCATGCAGGTACTGTGCCCGCTCTTTCCCCTCCTCCTGCCTGCACAT